ATAAAGTAATTTCGTTAGTCGTAGTAAAGATACGCTCTAAGCTTCCTTTTCTAGTTAAGTATCGTTTACGATATCTATAAAGCTCTCTATAGTTCCGCTAAGGACGCTATAGCTTATACTATCGGCGTTTAATTTATCTTATCTTTCGTATAGCTAGTAGTATCGAATAAGTTATTCCTAAATATCTTTTCTCTAGCTTTCTTCTATTAAAGAGCCTCTAGGTTTATATTAATCGTATAGAAGAAAGTATAGTACTTCCTATAGGTTAATAGAATTAGCGTTATAACGAGAGCGCTCTTTAGGTCGTATAAAAAGTAGTTTAATATAAATATCTTCTTTACTAAGTCGACCTAGTTTAGTTCGTCGGCTTCGAGTAGTATACGATTAAACTCGACGAGAAATACGCTAAAGGACTTTTCGTTCTACTTTAACTAAGAAAGCTTTCGTAATACTCTTTCTACGACGTCGACGTCCTCGTACGCCGCCTTTAATTAACTAATAAGTTCTTTCGTATTTATTTCGAGGATTAATTATATAAAATTAATCTACGGGCTAACCTAGGTAAGGATGTAGCTCCTTAGTCTACTATAGAAATACTAAAATTATACGACTTCGATTTCTTCTTACTTATTAACTATTAACTTAGCTTAAGCTTAAGTAAGCTACGACCGAAACTCTAATCTTTTTCTATTAAATTTAGCTAGCTCGGAGAGCTTAGCCTTTCGTCGTATAGAGTCGAATTCTTATATAGCGCTCGTCGTCGTAGAAGTCGTTACTTTAGGCGTACGAGTTCGTACTCTATTCTATTAGTCGAGTTAATCCTCGAGTACTATTATTCTTTAGTTTTAAGTCTATAAGAGCTAGTATAGCTCTACCGCTTACGCTAGAGCGATTTTCGTTAGTTACTATTCGTTATCTATTTCGTACGCGATACTCTTTCGCTACGTATAATAGGAAGCTTTAGAATTATATAAGGGTTTAGCTAGGAATTTAGAGTAATTCGTTTAACTATCGTATAACGAGGATTCTAAAGCTAAGGAGAGAAAAGAAAAAAGAAAATCTATCTACTATACGAATAAAGGAAATACTCCCTAGCCTTTCCTATAGTAGGTTAGTATAGTTTCCTAGGAGATAATCGATAGAGAGGAATTATATAGCTTCGGCTATATAGTTATATAGCCTAAAGGTATACTACGAGTAATCGCTCTAGGGCGTACTCTAGAGCTTTATACGGATTTAATTCGTAATAATAGACCTCGATATTCCTAAACTTTAGGATACTATTATAATACGAATATAGAGATAGTATAGGAATAAACTATATTACGATACTTAGGAAGGTAAGCTCTATCTACTAGCCTAATAATACTTAGAAATATTAAATATTTTAGTACTATATTTAAAGTATAAACTACTCTATAGAGACTAAAGAAGATATTTACGATAATATTAGTACTCGTATTATTCGACGCTAAAAGAGAAATAATAGTAGAAGTAGATATATTAAAGTAGTATATTAACGATATATTATATTAAGTTAACGACGAAGGAGTCGTATAACTCTACGCCTTCTTCTCGAAGAAAAACTTACCTACGAAATATAACTATAAGATTTATAATAAGAAAATACTAGTAATTATACGATATCTAGAAGAATAGAATACTAAACTATAAAGCGTAAAAGAATTCGAGATTCGATCTAACTATAAGAATCTCGAATACTTTATAATCGTACGAAAGCTAACGAAACGATAGATATAATAGTTACTTATTCTATCTCGATATAACTTTAAGATTTTATACGTTAAAGGAACGAATAACGAGCGAGTAGACGCCCTTTTCCGACGCGAATAGAACTTACTAGAGAACGAGGACGATAATTAACTCTAGTATTATATAGTTTAACTCTTAAAGCTAGAAATAGTAGAAGAAAGGAAGAAAGTACTATACGCGATATCGATATTCTCTAGTAAATACTCGTTTAATAGAAAATTAATAATAGTAATAGATTAACTTTAGGTAGCGATAGAACTAGCGAATAATATCTACTAGAAAGTAGTAGAAGTTATATGAAAAAGGACTCGAGTTTTTTCTACGATATTAAAGTTAAAAGTTTCGATTTCCGAATATAACCTAAATAGTAACGAATAGCTCTTCTTTCGAGAAAGGCGATAGGTATTAAATTTTAAGCTTCTTCGTATAAGTATTATTTAATAAATCTATAACTTAATAGTAAATAAATATTCGGAACGAGAAGGAACGATAGCGATTCTATCTCGAGACTTCTTTTAGTCGAATATATTATAAGATATTTAGAGATTTATACGAAATTATAACGTTTATAGATAAATAAAAGTATAGCGAAAGAGAAAGGCTAGGTTTCTTAAGCTACTTCTCGTACTAGACTAAGTATAGCGCGAAATATTAATAAACTTTATTACTAGACTTCCTAAGAGTAAGAAGTATACGAACCTCCTAGTAATTACGAATCGACTAGAAAAAGAAATAATTCTCGAAGAAATACGCTTAATTAAAGTAGAGGACGTAGTAAGAGTACTCCTTCGTACGTTCTATCGATAATACGATCTACTAGTAGTAATCGTTACGAATCGAGGCTCCTAGTTTATAGAAGTCCTTTAGATACGATTTTATAAACTATTAGATATTATATAACGATTATCGATAGCTTTTTACCTATAGATAGACGGATTAACGGAACGTATAAACTAAATAGTCGAGACGTATCTCTATACGTATATTAGAAGAGTATAGAATAATTAGGTAGAAGTACTCTTAATAGTCGAGTTAGCGATTAATAACCGCGACGCTTAGTTAATAGGAGTAAGCCCCTTCTTCCTTAATTACGAATACTATATTAAGACGATTTATATTACGGAATACTAAGGAGTATATATATATAGTAGATTACTAGAGATATTAATACGAAGTATCGATACTCTACGTCTTTTTAGCTTAATCGCTAGGGGCTATAGTATCCGCTCTAATAATTTAGCTAACGGACGTTATACGACTAATTACTACTCCTAGAAGCTCTATCGAGTAAGGAGAAGAGATCGTATAACGGCTATAGAAGGCGAGAAAATAGGCCTAAATATTAATAGTAGTTACCTAGTAGGAATAAGAAGAAGCTATAAATCGTACGAAGTAATAAGCGATATAGTTTCGGATTAGCGATAAGGTTTAGCTTAACCTCTAAAATATACGTACGACTCGATAGTTAAAGAAACTAGACTAGAAGAACGCTAAGTATATAGTATTAGAATTTATCGATACTTATAGCTATCGACTAGATACTCTACTAAGTATCTATAACGTCTTCTACGCCGACCTTCTACGTACGACCGCGACGAACCTTCTAGAATCGTAAATACGAGACGACGAATAACCGAAACTAATTCGCGTAAACGAAGAAGATAAGTTCGGTATCGAGAGAATTCTAGACGAATATACGATACGTTATAGTCGAAGTATATAGGCTAAAGTACTAGTTAAATAGTTAGAATATATATAGTTAATATAGAAACTACGCTCGGCCCTTAAGAATATAATCGCTTTAGAGTTATACGAAGCTTCTACGCTAAGCGAGAATAGCTTCGGACGAGAAGAGGAGAATAATATTACGAATTAAACTCGTAGAATATCTTAGTAAGAACTAGCGACGTCTAGATTCGATCGTATAGTTATATAGCCGAACGATATTACGTAATATTAATAGATATTTTAGCGAGCGACGCTAAGACTAAACTAGCGATACCTAGATTCGACCGTATAGTTATATAACCGGACGATATTACGTAATACTAATAGTTACTTAGAATACCGGACGACCTACCTTAGGAGATTATATCTCCCTATGGATAGCGGCAGGACTTCTTTCTCTCTTCCCTTTAGCTTAACGTCCTTATTAGATAGGTCCTATAGTAGTTAAATAAGCTCCTATTAAAATCCTTACATCGAGATCCTATAAGATCTAAGGGATCTAAGGAATCTAAGGGATCTAGCCCTACCTAGTTACCTAACTTAGCCTCGTTCTCCATCGGCTAACTTCCTTCCTTGGGTAGGTGCCCTAATTCCCTTAGTAACCCTTTAAGTGACCTAGTTCGTAATATATATTATTATATAGGCGACTTAGCGTAGATAAGATTTCTATCTTCTTCTACTCTATAGTTACCGTTCTAGTTTATATAGAAAATTACTAGATAAGTAACCTCCTAGAGCCTATTTTCTATAATTCTAAAGTATTCTAGAGGCTATAGTACTAACTTATTAATCGTTATTATAAGGTTACCTACTAGCCTATTCTATCGATCGTTATTTAGGCGCTAATAGGTTACTAGTTACCCTACTACTTAATTCTTAGTAATTAGTTAACTTAAATATAGCTTAGAATTAAGTTAATATTAAGTCTAAAATAGCGCATTTTAAGTTGAATCGAGTTGAGTTGAGTTGAAATTGTCTATTTAGAATTGAGTTATTCGGAGCGCTAGTGTTGATATCGTTAATATCGGCATCGATATCGACGGCGAGGACCTACTTTAGTGGCGTCGATTTCAGTCACCGTTATAAGCACTAGCCCAGCTAGCTCCTTGGCAGAGAAATTAGCGCGGTCTCAAGTTTTAGTATACAACTCCGTACCTCTATTGTTAATAATTCTTCAGCGTTAATGTAATTCCTGGCAGAAGACGTTTTGCGGCGTTTCCGGCATCCGTAGACACAAAGATCGTGAATTCTATGAAGTTCCCCCATAATCAGCTACCCCATACTTCCCCGTCCACGTTAACTCCGCACAGCTCCTCGACAACCAAGAAATTTCGACCGAGTGATTTCCGCAGATTAGGCACATCAAGGCCCCTCGAAGCTAGTACACCACGGCTGGTATTTATAAAGTGGAGCTTCTGAGTTGGTAGACGGTACCGGACTTCAATATCTTAGACGGTTTCATCAGGCTCTTACCATTTTACAATTTGGAAACCGCAAAGATGATTAGCAAAGTAACGGCACCGGAGATCGCGATAGTGGGTGGTGGTCCTTCCGGGCTGGCGTTTGCAGGTATGCTCGAGCGTGCAGGCTTCGACTACGTGGTCTATGAGCGGGAATCGAGGGGGTCTCTTCCCAGAGGTGGCTGCCTCGACCTCCACCTCGGTAGTGGTCAGCGCGCCATGAAGGAGGCGGGGTGTTTTGAAGAGATGAACAAATATGGCAGGCGCGGAGAGGCCACGATCCATACGGTCTTTGATCCAGAGGGGACAAAAGTGGCTAGCTGGGGTGAGGGACATGATAAGCCAGAGCTGGACCGTGGTCAGATCAAGGCCGCTTTGCTGACGACCATTCCTGACAACAAGATCAAGTGGGACGACAGGGTGAAGGAGGTCGTGAGAGACGAACAAGGGGCCATAGTGGTACAGTTTGAGGGTGGAGGGACGGCTACTGGCTTTAAGCTTGTGGTGGGCGCGGATGGGGCGTTCAGCAAGGTTAGGCATCTGGTATGGAATATTATCTTTGCGTGGATTATTAAATAGGGACGTCGGTTCGCTAATAACGCTACAGGTGACAACGGCGGCGCCACAGTATGCCAAGAGGACGTTCATCAACGGCACTATTCACCCCGATAACCCATTCTACTCAACGGTACTTAAGAGTGCCGGAGCTGGCCCGCAGGTCGTGATGGGCAAAGGACTCAAGATATGGAATCAGATGCAAGGCGATGGCCACTATCGAGTTGACCTGGGATTTGAAAAACCGGTTGACTTTACGAGAAACGGAACTTTCGATATTTCAGACACCGAAGCCGTGAAGGAACTCCTCCTTACGGAGGAGTTTTTCGGCAAATATGGGCAATATTTCCGAGATTTGATCAGTGCCTGTGAAGGCCCTCTCTTCGTCTGGCCGCTGTGGCACATGCCCAGCGACAGATTCAACTGGGCGCCGAACGCAGACGTGACAATCATCGGTGATGCGGCACACGTGACACCTCCTTTTGTCGGTGATGGGGTCAATTGCGCAATGAGAGATGCCATCATCTTGTCGCAGAAATTAAAAGAGTTTGGGATCACCAGAGCGGCCGTGGCGGCATATGAGAAGGAGATGTTTGTCTGGGCGACCGACCTCATTGACCGAAGTTTGGAATGCGGAGATCTATTCTTTGACTGGAATGCGCCAGCAACCTTCTTTGAGGCACTGGCAAAGAAGCCACTGATCGGCACGACAGACGACGTTTGAAACCAATGGTCAGCTCCAGTATATACATGGAAAAGCTTGTCTTGTGCGCAAAGGCAGTGACCATATTCTAACTAGTTCAGTTATTGTTATCTGGATGTGCATCTTAGGCAACGTCGACACTAGTCGCCAGTTGGAGCCTTCCAAGGAGTGCCCTTGCTGCCAATAAAAATCACGTAACGAAGGCATATAGGCAGATCCTCCCCATGGCCACAACGCGCATCAGGAGAAAAAAGAATTTATTCTATCTCACATCTCCAAGAGCACTTCACTCGGAACCCATTCTAGGAGCTTCTGATTTCCAACTGCACGGTGCGTGCATGCCGCACGATCGCTACTACCACGGTATCTTGCAGTAATTTGCGGGGATAAGGCGGATAAGTTCCTCCACACCTCTGTCGATAAAGCCGAAAAATGCAGCACGACTAACCACGATCGACCGAACTAGTTAGTTGAATTATGGGAGTATCCGTGGCGAGGTGTTTCGGAGGGTTGCCTAACATTGTTCTTGGTCTCCACGGACCCCACCTAGCCAATCGCGGGGTTCTGCCCCCCTGCCCCCACATCTGATGAATATAAGACACTCTACAATCCCTGCCCTCGTAGTTGTACAGCAGCAAGGCTCTCTCGTTTCGCCAATATGGATCAGCCATCGCAAAAGCGCAAAGGGGATCCTCGGGACGACGCTGAGCCGCCGTCGTCCTTCAAAAGGACCATGGTTCGCAAACGGGCAGCGTTGGCGTGTGAAGAGTGTAGGACGAGAAAGAGACGTTGTGATTCCGCCTTCCCTGCCTGTGGTGGCTGCAAGAAACGCAAGTCAAATTGTATCTACTCTGCAGAGATTGAAGCAAAGCAATGGAATTATAGGTTGGCCAACCAAGGAGCACCTGCAAAATTCCTCATCTGCTGATAGGTGATGCTGTAGTATGATCCGATCCTTGCGCGCCCATCTAGAAGAACTCGAAAAAGGAGCAGAGATACCGTCACATTCACAGATAAAGGATGTATCACACATAAAGAATGTCACTCGGCCACAGCAACCCCCACAACAGCCCTTGGAGCTTACTCGACTTGATGATAACTGCTCAGATGCCACTCCCACCATGGCCCATTCTCAAATTCATACATCTGACCCGGCTGGACACGGAGTTTCTTCGCGATGTATAGAACCATATGGCTTCGAACAGCTCATGCATCCGATCGACCTGGCCATCGACCAGAGAGCAGACACGCGCGTAAGATCAACCCTGCCATTGGACTCCGTCGATTCACCTCAAATCAGCACAACTCCCGACGACAGCAACAAGAATAGCGAAGTCGACTGCGAATGCGATCGTGTGCTCGATGCGATGCAATGCCGCTTGCCACTGCGAAGACACGCTGATAGCCTAGTGGCCATCTTCTTCTCCAGACACCAGCGTATGCTTCCTGTGCTACATGAATCAACATTTATGAAGCAGTATCACGCATTGTGGGAGTCAACCTATACTATTTCCCGTCAAAACACGCAGAAGCTACCCTCATGTCTCGGGTTGTGCAAACAAAAGAGTAAAGGTACGCTATTTCCTGCAACACTAAACGTCGTATTCTCTTTGGGCGCCCTTTTCGCATCTCGAGACGCGGAACGCAATTCTGAGCAAGCCCGAGAATATTTTCGCTTGGCTGAGAGCATAGATATCTTGCAGGCCTTAGATGGAGAGGTAGGAATTGAGCTGGTCCAGCTGGCATTACTAATGGGATTCTACTTACAAAGCACCGAAAGATTCTCAAAGTGCTGGAATATTGGGGGTTTGGCCATTCGTATGGCTCAAAACATGGGTTTGCATTTCAGCATTTCCGAGGCTTGTAAGAGGGGACTTCTCTCCCCTCGCTCAACACAGTTGGACTGTGAGATGCGTGTGCGTGTGTGGTATGGCTGTGTTATACTTGAAACGTGGGTCTTCTTCCCCAAGCCTTCTATGCTCAATAATCCGAACGTTGTGCTACGTCGGCAGCAACGGGTCTAATCTGCAGTGGTGTTTGTTGATTCCTCCTCCTGCCTCATAGGAACTAATGAAAAGACTAATCCAGTGACATCTCTATCTCCTTCGCCCAGCCATTACTGGTTTCCGCGAGTGGAAAGTTCTTGAAACTACCAGAGCCGATCGACGATCAGCTTCTGAGCAACGAAGTGGGCAATCCGAAAGTCCAACCAAAAGATTTCCACAGCCCCATGGAGTACTACACGGAAACGGCAAAGCTTTATAAAATTTTAGGCCAGGTGCTGGAAAAACAGGAACCAGAACTGATTTCCGATTCATTTTCGACTACACAATCCATCTTGGGTCTTGATGTAAAAATAATGGAGTGGCAAAGTAATTTACCCCGACACTTAAAGCAGGAGCCTTTGCCAGTAGATATGGACTTCTCTGATGACCATATCTCAGAATTCTTTCTTCCAGAGTCCCTCGGCATCCTTGATTTCCCAGCCTTGGCAAGGAGGCTACACTGCAGGTCAGATACTTATCCTTCAATGTTGCTGGGACACCATACTGACTAGCATCTGCTCAGATTCCTGCACACCCGAATACTCATCTTGAGACCTGCACTTGAGTCGTTGTTCCAGAAACAGCAGCGCCAGAAACCCGATGTTGTTTTCGGGCTTCCCAAGACGGGAATCCTCCAAGATTCTCTGGTGCGCAGCATTGCGGCACAATGCGTGCTTCTCGCCATCGACCTGGTAAATTATCTGGCAACTCAAATCCGCACCGAAACCTTTCTGTGTTGGTGGTATAACATCAGCTGTAGGTGATTGAATGATCTCTGATTGAGGTCAAGAGTGTTACTGATAACATTATGCGCCCGAACAGTCCTCCATGTCTGCGGTAGTGCACTCTTAATGGGCCGCCTGTGCACATTTGACAAAGGCGAGATTCCCTTGGGTTCACTGTGTCGCAGTTGGACGTTGTGTCTACAACACCTTTCCAACTATGAAAAGTTAAGCAAGATCGCAAGGAAATCCTCATATCTACTCCAAGAAAGTGCAAAGCGCCTCATAGGACCCCAAGATTTGCAGGTTAGGGAAGATGATGATGAGGCTCTCCTGGATGAGCCCTTTCACCATGACTCCACCCAAACCATTAGGTCCTATATGGCAACAAACCTGTTCGGCTTTGAACATTCATCACACCCTGTGACCCTGGCAAGTCAACTGGACACTACCCCTGCCGTCGCAAAGAACGTGTCCTCACAGTCGAGACAAGACCCAGAGAACACGTCAGCACCTAGCTTTACGTTTGGCCAGGATGAGATTGGACACGCATTCTCGGATCTCACAGGTCATGACTTGTGGGATTCCACACTCGATGGATACTCGTCGTGGCCTCTCATGCCACCAATTTCTCAGTTGGTGATGCTTCCACTACAGTTTGATGGTTCGAATAACCTTTCATAACAGGATTGTAACTTACCACCCTCTGGCTTCCGTTGACTGATTGAGGCCTCCCTCACTCGCGGGTTCAATTGTCTATCAATGACGTGTAGAGCCAATATCACACAGCTTTATCCGCTCTGGTCATGCCAACCTCTCGTTTTCCGAACCTTCGTCGCTCGTGGATCGAACGTTTCAGCTCCTCACTGCAATGCATGGACTTATAAGGGCCCCTAAGGTCGCAGCCATCCGGTCTAAACCTAGCTGAAAGTATCAACTCAGTCATGTACTGCAGGCAAATCCGAGAGCCATGATGCCTTGGAGGTGGATTTCCGGATCACTATGAGCACATAATAGATGTAGCGTGCACTAGAGAGAAATACTTATAAGTCTAGTACATAGGAGAATACTACCCCTTCTACAACACAGGCCACAAGCACTCGAGACTTCTCCAGATGTCTACGTCATCTTGCGTCCGTTCGCCTCTCCATCCCTTTAGAATATCTCGACACAATGTTCGCCTAACTTGCGTCTATGGCACCGTAGGTTAGAGAAGTACCCCAGTACTGAATCATTTTCAATAGTCAAGTATAGGGCTCTCATAACATGGACTACGAGCTCACTCACCCACGCGGTGGTATATGGGGATTTAACAACATTGGAAAGCGGAACGGAGTAGGGAGAACCGCGTGTTGTCAGCGGGCAATAGCGGGACCTCGCGCTCAAAACCGTTGATCATTTCAGAAGCGAAGGAGTCTCTCATGGTAAGCGGCTCGTCTGCGGTAAGTCCGTAATACGTCCTGTGACGCCCAAAGCACCACCCAAAAAAGGCTCCTCGTGGCCATACCGTCCAAAGGACTTGGAACGATCCTCGTGTACCATCAGATGCCTAGAAGTATATTCGGCACCAGGTAGTTTGACGGCATGTATTCCCTTGGACCCATGCTCGATAACCACACAGTAACAAGATCTGCCCATTCTGGATTTTTTTCAACAATTCGACGGCGAACACTGTCGACAGTTCCACAACTAGATCTTGTCCGTCTTTTCCAACAGCAAATTCGTTGTGCATAACGACGGCCACCGTTTGTAAATTCGAGATATGGCGATTCCGACGGTCCAGGCTGCGGTAGTTGCCTCAGAGACAGGAGGACCTGAAGTCATGCAATACAGGACCGATGTACCAGTTCCCGAACCAAAATTTGGTGAGGTCTTAATCAAAAATACTGTGTCGAGCATCAATTACGTTGATACATACTTCCGAACGGGCTTCTATCCCTCCACAAAGCCTGAAATTCTTGGTCGAGAAGGCGCTGGGGTGGTCGTGGCGTTAGGCCCGGATACCGAACAATATGACATCCACATCGGCGACCGTGTGCTCTGGCTAGGAACATCAGGATACGCGCAGTACACGGTGACACCGGCACTGAAAACATTGAAGCTACCCGATGCTGTTTCGGACGAAATTGCTGCTTCTTGCGGTCTTGCGGGCCTGACAGCACTCACTCTAGTCGAAGAGTCATATAAAGTTGAAGCGAACGATTGGGTGATGCTGCATGCAGGTGCTGGTGGTGTGGGCATTCTTTTGACGCAGGTACTCAAGGACACTGGGGCAGGGGTTATAGCAACGGCGGGTGGACCAGAGAAAGTAGCGCTTGTCAAAGCACTGGGAGCAGACCATGTCATTGACTATCGCAGCGAGGAAGGTAAGGACTGGCCTAAGCTGGTCAGAGAAATAACGGGTGGTAGGGGAGTAGACGTGGTATATGACTCGGTGGCAAAGGATACCTGGGAAGGAAGTTTGGACGTGGTTAAGCGGAAGGGCACAGTTGTTTGGTATGGCAATGCCAGTGGCCCCGTCCCCCCCTTGACATTGCAGTAAGTGAATCTGCAATCGGTTGGAGGTGATGTGTACTAACCCCTTTGTTACCAATCGCAGTCGACTCGCACTCAAATGCATCAAGATCGTGAGGCCAACCTTGCTTGGCTACCTAGAGACGCGAGAGGAATTTGACTACTACGGAAGTCGGCTTCTTAGCTACCTGGCCTCAGGAAAGCTGAAACCAAGGATTCACAAGATCTACCCGCTTTCAGAGGTGCAGCAGGCCCATATCGTGAGTCCTTCTTTCGATTCAAACGTTGAAACATCTGGATTCAAATACTGACGATTGTATCCTGTTCACCAAAGGACGTTGAGAGTCGGACGACCATTGGCAAGTTGTTGCTGAAGCCATAAAGTCATGGTAGTTGATGCCAAGGCGCCCCTTTTTCCACAGAGCCTTCTAGGACAATCATAGGAGGAACACGAGACTGGGTAACGGAGTCAGTGATGTAGTGGGACAAATGCTATTGTATCTAGTTCAAGTCCTCTTTGACCCAGCCTATGATAGGACTATGTCTTTCAGTCCTAATGCCTCCTCACAATCCTGAATACTTTTACACTGCATCGCTTCATACAGTAAGAACACATCGTAGACTTTACAACCCAGTGAACTCTCAAGTTCTTTCAAGTCCGAATTGTTGCTATTCTCCATATCAGGCCCTTGGAGAGAAGTCTCCGGTCTTATATCCTCCTCAGCTGGATCTTCTGTAACGTTGGACTTGAAGATCCCGGCCGCAGAGAACGGTAAGAAATCTTCGTAAGTGATTGGCTCGCATTCTATGAGGCCACGACTTATTAGCCACTCAATACCTGCATGCTGTCCCTGCGATAATGTAACCTTGCTCTTTTTGGCAAATCTTAGACCGGCGGAGGTAGGGCGATACTGGAAAAACACCAATCCTTGCTCTCGGAGCTCTGCCCACGAGTCGGGAAAGTGGGCTGCAAACATTTGTGCAAGAACAGAATCAAAGTCTGTGCTCTACTTTGCTTCCCTGATCGCAGATTGGAGTAATTGATCATACAATGCCCGCCCCTTACGTGTCACAGCCGCGCCTCGTTGCTCAACCTCTCCGAACCGTGCAGTGTGTGTTCCCTTGTTGTGAATTCCATTAGAATCAGCTCTGTCAAAGAGTATATACTCCTCCAAAGCTTTGAAGCTCGTTTGACGTAACAAGATTGGGCATTTGCGTGGTGGAGGTCCCTCGATCCGTTCCTTGGCTGGGAGACCAAGTCTGACCATTTCCTTCTGGACAAAATCTATATTAAGAGTCCGTGGTGTCAGATGGTTGATATGAGCACTCGGAAAGCAGGAGATGTCGGCAACGATTGGGTGGATTTGCTTCATAACAAGGTATTCTTCCATCGAAAAATGGGACCGAGAGTGCCATTTAAAGATTTTGAGAGCCTCAGACAATAGATCGTCAGCATCCTGAGCAGTCATAGCCCGCCCAGCTTCTACGTGATCGATAATTTCGACCAGTCTTCGGGTGAACAGTTTCCGCTGCTCGAGCATAAGTTCTACCATGTCACAGATTTCCCGCGTTAGACGTTCTTTACGCAACAGCGTCGTGAACACTCTGAACGGATTTTTCTGCAGAGAACGCTCTGTGATGGGTCGGAAAGTAGTCGCGTGCAGCGGAAAGCCCAGGACTCCCAGATCGTAATATCCCACGGGATACATACCTAAGATGGCGAATAAACGTTTAATTGTTCGCAATTCATATTGTGTTCCGAGTCTAATGGCGCCATGCCTCTCGAGTTCATGCCGGGTTGGAAGTGATCCTGCACCTTTGCCCTGTTCTGCTAGGATTGAACCATCAACAGAACGTACGATGTCGACGAGGGTTCCATACAAGGGGACCTCTGCTTTGTACATTTCAGATAAGGCGGATATGAACTTTGTACGAAGTTCATCTGCGTCCCATCTAGTTGGACATTTTATTAGCAAATACTACTGCTTGATCGAAACCAACACCCTTCTTCCATCCAGGGTTCAGCTGACTCACATTTCGCTCCTCATGGCTTCGAATTCCATTATCGAACCAACGCAGACTATACTTGACGGCTTGCACTCGATGATCAAGGCTTCACGAATGATGGTCTAAATACCCCGGGGCACTAGCCGAGGTGACTTTCTCATCGACACTGATGTGGTGGATTATTTCCTATCACGGAATGTGTCTTTAATCTAAACTTTACACCAGTGCATAGCATGTATACAAAGAACATCCATACTAGTATTGATGAAGCAGCGTAGTGGAAAGCGAATCGCCTCGCGGTGATTTATGGCGGAGGCGTGCGGACTTTCCGCACTGATCAAATGCGGCGTGCGGTAAGCAGCATGAAAGCGGCAATACCATCACTTCATGGGTTTAGAACTTTGCTTCAGGGCGCGCGATTCACTTTGTTAGTAAGACTTCAACGTTTGAAGACGACCGTAATCTAGTACATATAGTGTCAGGCAGATACAGTAATCTTTGGAACCGCAGTAACTCAAGTCAAGAGAATTGCGAGGGTCTTCAGACTGTTTTTCTCTTGTCCTTCATAAGGCTTCAAAGTTGCTTTCATATTCAGTTATCATGGCAAAACTTGCTTACCCGACCGTCTCGCAACGGGTGACTTTTAACTCTCGCCGCTTCAAGGCCCCCTTAAAAATAGCTCTAGAAGAGCACATTAGCACTAAATTATTCAATCCTACCGAAACCCTTCCACCACAAAGTCGCACGGCAGAACTACCCTACATGAACCCTGAATTTGTGGCGGATACAGAGGACCGTCTCACAAACATTGATGCTCGGATCGAGGCGATGGATCGGGCAGGTATTGCCCTGACTATCATTTCGCTGACGATGCCCGGGATTGAAGGCATTTTCGATTCTGCTATCGCCGTATCGATGGCGAGGAAAGTCAATGACGAAATCCACGATTTATATACAGCTGGATTGCACGCGAAGAGATTTCGTGCTTTCGGAGTTGTACCAATGCAGGATCCCGAGGCTGCAACTATTGAGCTCGAGAGATGCATTAAAGAGCTCGGCTTTGTGGGAGTCTTGGTGAACGGATATTCTAATGTAGGCGGAGAAAGTACCGTTCAATATCTTGATGAACCGGCTTGTGCGCCTTTCTGGGCTAAGCTCGAGGAGCTAGACGTTCCTCTTTACCTTCATCCACGTATTCCGCCGCCTGACCAGATGCGCATCTATAAAGGATATGAGTTCCTCGCAGGTAGCCCTTGGGGCTTTGGTTTGGAAACAGCTACTCATGCTCTTCGACTAATGGCATCCGGGCTCTTCGACCATCATCCCCGCCTAAAAGTTATCCTCGGTCACTGTGGTGAAGGTCTTCCATTCTCACTTTATCGGATTGACCATCGAATCCGCCATTTTCAGAACGGTTTACTTCAGTGTAAATTGCGGATGCAGGATTACTGGGAAAGGAACTTCTGGGTTACGACATCGGGTGTTTTTAGTGATGGGGCGTTCGCGCAGACGCTGAAACATTGCGGTGAAGACCGCGTGTTGTGGAGTGCCGACTACCCATATGAGGATTATGATGAAATTTCCCATTGGTTTGACACCTTGGAGATTAGTGAGCACACTAGGGCAACAGTAGGATGGAAAAATGCGGAGAGGCTGTTCAATCTAAAGGCGAGCGAGGCAATCGCACAGCCCCTTAGGGTGGACATGAAGCGTGGGAGCGTGTAAAGTCCGAAATGAAAGGCAGTCTTTTGCATTTTTATCCCGTGGGTGGTCAGGGGCCGCGACCAATCCCTTAGTGGCTTTTCTTTGAGCAGATGCCCATGGATCAAGTGAACTATGTCGTCTTTTCGTCCTCCCCGTTGCTGTCCGACAGCTGAAGGCTACTAATTTCTGGAGTGTTAACACCATCCATTTTTAGTGATCGTTGACCGGTTTTCTTTGAATGATTGATGATGGATTCACTTGTGACCCAGTCGCTTATGTAGATCGAGAAACTTCATAGTCTCCATAACCTAATCCCGAGTTAATTGACTCGACCATCTAGCCCACCCGCAGACTAGATCTTAATTGATGGGGTGGGTCTGCCGGCTATCGCCCAGATGAACCATCCCTTTTCTGCTATAGTGACAGTATATAGATATCTGCTCGTCACATTCCAGGTGCTCTTAATGGCAAGTATCAAGTCCGGGTTTTGTAAGAAGACTAACGCCGCAGGAAAAGCCTGTGGATGTCTCCCAATCCTGTTGGAGATCAACTCTGTGCGGCTAGGACAGAAACCAAGCTCAGCATCGCTGGTTCAAAGGCGGCACAGTTTAGGTGCTCTAGATTGGTTGTTGCACAAGACTTAGCTAAGAAAAAGCCTAATTATCCCACTTATTATCCTCCGTGAAAAACAGTGAATTTTCCCATCTACTTGCCCTCTTGCCGATGATTGGCCGTTTTTTGATCTCGTCATCCGTTTCTTTCCCACTCCTTACTCGCTTGACAAAGTCCTCGGGTACAAAATCCACGCCGATCGGGTTCAGTGCGAATTCGTCTGTAGCCATGAAGGCATGAGCCTCCTCCGCGGTGTCAAAATTATCAACCTGAAACTCGAATTCGTTCCTATCTGGGTCGAAATAGTACAGTGAAGTGGAGATGCCGTGATTGACGGGCCAGTGGGGCAAAATTCCATAACTCTTCTTCTGTTCGTAGCTCGTGGCTAGCACTGCGAGCGTATTGAGAGCAAACGATATGTGATAGATGCCGCATGCCGCCCGCTTATCTGGAGGTTTCTGGTGACCTCGATCCGCAATAATCACGATTCGATGATGTTCGTCGTCAAATCTGATGAAGGCAGCATGGTCCGTTTTGAGGACCACCTCCCCAGCGAAGAACTTGATGTGCCAGTCAACCATCTTCTCGAAATTCTCAGGTGTTGTTCGCAGGCCAAAATGTGCTATCTTATCTGGTGCAATCTGCTTGCCAGTGGTGCCGTTGGTGCCATTAACTGTGGCCGCTACGGAATCCATTGCCACCGTAGCCTCGTCTTGAGGCTTAAGGGGCTTTCTAAGGTAGTTGTGTAAGATTCTTGTTATCAGACCCAACTACTTCCGAGTTCAATTACTCTTATATCAAAGTTGTCAGCTAATCGAAGCTTAGAAAAAGGTAGGAATGCTCTAGAGTGGTGGCGTGGAAGTGTAAGACGGCCTCCCGTCTGGGTGGGATTGCCGCAGCAACTAGATGGATGCACTGCCCCAAGAATTATGTCAACCGCTCGTACCGTCTTGCTTAGCTGTTCCCACCAGATCTTTCGAGACGATAACTATGCCACCTGTACAACGCTTGAGAACTGAGCGATGGTGTTGTCTACTGCGAATTCGGCTGCACAAAAATGGGTGAGTTGGCTGGTCCATTCGTGCAACCATTTCAAAGAGGTAACGGTCGGTTGGGCCGTATTCGCGAGAAAGCCGCAACGTTGGCTAAGGTCGGTAGTAGAGGTAGAGAAGCTTTGGATCGGCGGAGTGGACTTAATGCGGAATTACCATTCTGCTGAGAACGCCGTAAGCACCGTATGATTAGTGTAAGCACGTTTGTCTTTGAAGAAACATATGCAAATATGCCAGGCAGGAGGTGTGCCGCAGGCCCATGATGTTGGGGCCACGCCAGTAGGAACACGTAGTGTGTACCAATAGATAAATGTTTGCTACGATCATAACTTCAACCGGTAAGAAACACCTATGACCGCTGGAAAATCAAGAATGTCTCATCATACAATCGAGCATCCTTTATTAGGTACTATTCTTGGTGTCCAAAAATCAGAGGAGGTGGTCCAATTTCTAGGTATCCAATATGCCACTCTGAAAGACAGGTTCTCTCGTGGAGTTCTACTGAAGTCCTTGACGGGCATCCGTGGTAGTCACTCTGCAACGTTTTTTGACGCAACAAAAAGTGGGTAGGTGAGAAAGTGTTGCAGGATACAAAAACAGTCACTGATCTCTACTCCCAGACCTATCCCGCTGAATCCTCCAAATGCGTGTGCACTGGAGCAATCCGTTTTCGTTCAGAAGACCATTCCGTTCACACAGTGCGAACAATCGGACACCGAAGGTTTGACGCTCAACATCAGTGTACCAACAGCCGTTCGTAACTCCACTGGCCTACCTGTCTTCACCTTCGTGCATGGTGGTGGTTGGGTGACGGGCAGCATAGTCTATCCCCAATATGACTTGGCCGCGATTACAAGACTGAGCGTTGAAGCGGGTATGCCCATGTTATCGGTGGGAATCAAGTGCGTCCTTTGTCTATCTTGGCTCCGTTATTGCAGTCAAAACACTTCCACTAAATTTTATCCTTGAAAAGTTATCGTACTGGTGCAGTAGGTTTCCTGCACTCAACAGCAATGGCACAGCATGGGTACCTACCGAATAATGGTCTCTATGACTAGAGACTAGCATTCCGCTGGATCAAGCAGCATATCGCTGGCTTCGGTGGCGATCTAAACCGCGTGACATTCGTTGGGGAGAGCGCTGGAGCTAGTATAAACTCTTTCAGTAGTATTTAATCTTTGAGGCTAACACTAAAAGTGGCTGGGTGGCACTATTTGCAATCATTCGAGTCGCTCTTCTCTCAGATAATATCTATAAGTAGATTATTATTTATACAACCGAGACCTATAGCGATATATTACGAACTAGGTTATGGATGAGGTCGCTAGGATAGGCGCCCCACGTTCCAAGGGACAGTCTAAGGAAAGTTAGCCGATGGAGAACGAGGCTATATTACGTGACTAGGGAATATATTAATACATTACTATATTACTTCTAACGTACTAATATACTAAGGTAGCACTTTAAGCATTATATATATACGCTTCTTTACCTAGATAGTATAGTTCGTAGTTAACTTCGTTAGTAATCCTATACCTACGTTTTAGGATATAGTCCGACGATTATATATTTTCTTTATTATCTTAGTTAATACTCTAATACCTACCCCTTTAAGGAACCCTACCTTAGTTAGAACTACTTATAGCTCGGATTATAATACCTCGTTCTCTATCAGCTAACCTCTCTTTCCTAGAGTATAAGTAGCTTATCCTTAGCAACCCTTTTAGTAACCTAGTTCGTAATATACGGCTAGATCGAATAAGAAAATCTAGAGGGCCGTGCGAGACTCACGGACCCTTATTAGGTAGTAGTGCGAGTAATGTCTAGACGTAGGTTTCGCCTATACTATGCGATAATTACACTATTGGGAACCTAAAACGATCTTCCATATATTGATCCAATGTATACGAGGCCAAGCGGCTAAGGTGGAAGTGGTGTGACAAAAACTTTATAATTAGTGAGTGACGTTAATGGCCTATTTAAAGAATAGATAAGTCCTGTAGTGATAGCTAAGTCTAAATTAACTATTCACGCAAAGAATATCATCACCATCATTATGTATTACAGCAGCGGTAACTATGAAGCTTTCGCTCGACCACGGAAGCCGGAAAACGCCGAGAAGAAGAAAGCATGGTTCGTAGGATCCGGTCTCGCCTCCCTTGCAGGAGCGGCCTTTCTCGTGCGAGATGCCCAAATGCCAGGAGAGAATATCACCATCCTTGAGGAACTTGGTCTCCCTGGAGGAGCCCTGGACGGCATCAAAGAGCCAGAGAAGGGTTTCGTCATCCGCGGCGGAAGAGAAATGGAGGACCACTTCGAATGCCTATGGGATCTCTTCCGATCTGTGCCATCGCAAGAGATTGAGGGAGCCTCAGTGCTCGACGAATTCTATTGGCTCAACAAAGACGACCCTAATAAATCCCTACAGCGAGTAACCGTCAACCGAGGACAAGATGCTCATACCGACGGTCTCTTTGGCTTAAGCGGCAGTGCTCAGAGAGACATCATCCATGTCTTCCTGGCGACCAGAGAGGAAATGGAGGGCAAACGCATCAACGAAGTCTTCGGCTGTGACTTCTTGCAGAGTAACTTTTGGCTCTACTGGCGAACAATGTTTGCATTCCAGGAATGGCATTCGGCATTAGAAATGAAGCTCTACCTGCATCGTTTCATTCACCACATTCACGGCCTGCCGGATTTCTCTACTCTAAAGTTCACTAAGTACAACCAGTACGAGTCACTGGTCCTCCCGCTTCACAAATGGTTGCTCGACCATGGTGTCAAATTTCAGTACAATACCGAGGTAGTAGATGTCGACTTCTCTCTGACTGACGGTAAGAAGCAGGCCACGCGCATTCACTTGGTTAAGGACGGGCAGAAGGAAGAAGTGGACCTTGGCCCAAATGATCTGACTTTCATGACGATCGGATCCTTGACCGAGAACTCCAGCCTTGGTGACCACCATACACCAGCCAAGCTCAATGAAGGACCAGCCCCGGCATGGGATCTGTGGAGACGCATCGCGGCGAAGGATCCATCTTTTGGTAAGCCCGACGTCTTCGGCGCTCACATCTCTGAGTCGAAATGGCAGTCAGCCACGGTGACGACCTTGGATAAGCGCATACCCGAGTACATCCAAAAGATCTGCAAACGAGACCCCTTCAGCGGCAAGGTCGTGACCGGTGGCATTGTCAGCGTCAAGGACTCCAGTTGGCTTCTCAGTTGGACGGTCAACCGACAGCCACACTTCAAGAAGCAGCCACGCAATCAGATCGTCGTGTGGGTGTACTCACTGCTCGTCGACGCGCCCGGCGATTTCACCATGAAGCCCATACAAGACTGCACGGGCGAAGAAATCACCCAGGAATGGCTGTACCATCTTGGCGTGCCGATCGAAGACATTCCCGAGCTCGCAGCCACCGGTGCCAAGTGCGTGCCGTGTATGATGCCCTATGTGACCTCTTTTTTCATGGCTCGTCACACAGGCGATCGACCGGCCGTGGTCCCTGAAGGTGCGACCAACTTTGCCTTCATTGGCCAGTTCGCCGAATCGACGCGCGACACCATTTTCACAACCGAATATTCCGTCCGTACAGCGATGGAAGCTGTGTATCAGCTGCTTAACGTCGAGCGTGGAGTTCCCGAGGTGTTTAACTCGACTTACGATGTTCGTAAATTGCTGGCGGCGACCAGTCATCTTCGCGATGGGAAGGCGTTGGATGCACCTCTACCGGAGTTCTTGCGCACTTGGATTGTACGGAAGCTTGACAATGAAGTTGGAGAGCTTCTTCATGCGAATCACTTGATATAGACACTGGGGATTGTTAAGATAAATCCCAGTCATAATACTCAATAGTATTTCATGAAATCCCCCGGATAAGGCACAAGGCAGGTTCTCGAATCTCGAATCTTGACCTTCGCCTGGCTCCAGCCATCTGCTGCAACTCTTCACGCGTTGTTTGAACATGCAAGTAGTTGTAGAAGAGATAGATAACTGTGCTTCGCGTCGTTGAGACAGTGACCCAACCCAGTAATCCTATAGTGTTTCGGTATCCTCTTAGACAGGCCGTACTACGTATCCTCCGCCGCTCTCAGCGTGACCTAGTTCGTAATATTAATATTCTTGTCTTCTTCGCCGGATCCACCGACTGTAGTATCTTGCGACATTCGTACAAATGTTGCTAATGCCACGTTGGGTCTATCAGTCTTTTTCAATGGTACTACCATTTGGGTTTCCAAATCATCCCAGTCTTGTCCCGGATTTGCAGTTTTCCAATTGAAAGCCTCGAGGACATAGAAGAATCCTGCAGAGACAAGAGAACCCAGTAATGGCCCAACCCAATAAATCCACGAGTAGCCGGGGAAGCTATGGGTAATAACATCTGGACCGAACGCTCGCGCTGGGTTGATTCCTGCCCCAGTATAATAAATACCTAAGACATTTAATTAGCGGTGATGACGGAAAATGATTTTCTAGTAGACTCACTCATAAGATGTCCAATAAACAATGCAAGACCAATTCCTATCGGGGCAAGAAAAGTGGCCTTGTGTTTCACGGCGGCCAACATAATCACCGCGAAGACTAATTGCATCGTGGCGAACATTTCAATAAAGAGGCCACGAGATATTGAACACCCACCTCCCAATCGCACATTCACAGCCATTGGCCCCGGAAGTGTAGCAGACACGGCACCAGCCGCAGCGATCCCACCGATCATCTGAGCTGCGAAGACCACGCAGCCTCGGCTTGGTGGTACTGCACCGACGAGACATAGTGTCAAAGTCACCTATAGGGGTCAGCTCAAAACTATTGTAGATCGATAGATACCCACTGCTGGATTGAACATGCCCCCGCTGACCCTATAAAACAACCATACATTCACTGCAACCGAGGAGCCGAATCCGAGGGCAATAAAGAAGATTTTCAAGATATCCGGTCGTGAGCTAGAACCGTCTGGGGGCGGGGTGTTCGCGACCTGAGCGATCGCAAAGGCGAAAAATAGAAACATAAAGGTGCCTGCAAGTTCTGAAATGAACGCAGTGGTGTGGTTTCTAGGTGTGTCTGGCAGGAAGCCCATCACTGCCCCTGTCCGGAGATAACCAACACGAGGTTTGGTAGGCATGATAGATAATGTTACAACCTTCGAGTAGAAGAAATAGATGAACGAGAGATAGGTTCTAGTCTCATAGGAAGAGAGCTCGTAATCTCATGCCATTTAAGTATCCCGACCATGGCTTGCTCCAAGCCATATATTGCGACACTTAGAGACGAAAAGTTTAATGTTGGTCAGCCCTTCATCAATTCGGTGTAGCTCATCATCTGTGCTGCTATACGAAGGGGGCGATCCAATACTTTTGTCTGTGCACAATTATCAAAATCAAAGTTAACATTAAGAAAGTTTCAATTACATTCGTCCTATAGATAGTGTTCTTTACCGACGAAAAGGTTACGAATGCGCATATCAGCTGAACGTAAAGTTAACTTGGACTTTGGGATGGCCTTCTCTTGATCGGATCCCGTCCGCCAACGGGTCTGTGCGCATTTCTATTGTGATTGAATGGTCCGTGAGAAGCATAGACCCTACACGCTTGGTGTCCGTACGTAGAGAACACGAATCGAGAGCCAGTGCCAGGAGTGAGAGAGGTTGGTGTGGTGTCGCTGATGACACCTTGGCGCCAAGGCCTAAGAACGTCCGGTCCACGACCCACCGAAGGGCTGAACTCAATGCGTGTTACAGACGCCGCCCACTGCATTCATTAACGGCGCCAGGTCTCTGCATCGTTCTACGAGCTCTTCGTCACCCACTCCCGTTACCTAGCTTGCTAAGCTGGAAGCTTAGCAAGATAGGGACCGTTCTGCGAGTTAGTTAGCGCAATATCTAATAATGTAAGCGAGTATTTACATGGTAGTTCAGGTTTTCAGCCATAATGTACTTTCATCGAGTCGCATCCAGCAAGTCATGGAACGGAGTAGCGATTTCAATAGCCATTAAAACCTGCTGCATCCGTGCGCTTCCTCACGCACCTACATGTAACATATACTGTGCCTTTTCCAATATCCGAGCCCGAAGCAGATACGTGTTAAGTGTGCCCAGAACTAGGATTCGATCCCTGAAATGTCTTTCGATAGCTCCTGCTCGGATTCATGGGCGACCTAACCCATCCTAGATTTTCTATGGAGATATTCTTCATCACAAGGTAAGTGCCCTTTCAAAGAGCCTAAATGCCCTACACACAGCCATCACGTAAATGCTACCCACTCTTTTCCAGGGAGTCGACGGTCTACCATAAAACACCGCTAGGGCTACATTTAAAACATTACCTGTAGAGCTAGTTTATTGTCTCTACTCCAGCTATAAAGGAGTATTCTAAGATCTGGAAGTATACGTATATACTCTATCTATTCGGCCTCCCGACTGGAGAAATGTCCTGTAGTAAGCTGTGCCTCTCACTAGAGGGGGTCGTACGTAGGGTCGACTAGGACAGATATAATAGTCTGCTGTAGCTCTAAGTTATATCTATATATTCTATGTAACAGCCGGAACCCGTGCTGGTTTAGTTAGTCACGCTAATTGCTGGCCGAGCAGCATTCCCTCCACGATATTAAGTTGACGCAAGCGCCAGCATGAATTCCTGGCCCCAGCTGATGCTAAATAAGTTATTGAACTCTAAATTATGGTGTAAGGATACTTCTGCCTAGTGTGGCGATTAATGGCTCTCTCGAGAGCATTATAGATACTATGGCGTTCCGAAACCAGTAGGGTGAAAGCCTTTTTGATGGTTTCTGCGGATTATAGTACGTCCTAGGGTTTAATGAAGAGAGCATCCATTGATATCTTTGCGGCTCCTGTATCCTCGGACAGAATTAGGACCCCTTTACGTTTATTTTAACAGGTAAAAAACTCGTAACCAACAGTATTTACTAATCCTCTCTCGATACTGCGAGGTAGACGTCAGCGTTAGTGTATAAGGCGCACAGCTCCTCCACCATTAATAACTAGTATATATAGTAGACCGGCGTGTAGTTACTAGTTAAATTGAGCTATAGGGAAAAGTTAGCTAGCTAAGTTGTTGAACTGTGCTAGTTTCAACTTACAATACTTGCCATTAATCCCCGCCAACTTCCTTCTCAACGGTCTTCTGGAGCTTTTAATACTTAGGTACGTCAAGCCGTGTGGGGACACTAATCTAAAATAAAAGTACTTTTCCAATCCATTTAAGATAATCGCCGAGCAGTCTATCGAATGGAGCCAGTTTCTACGGAGCATCTTTGGTGTAGTCGAGCCTATTAATACCTAGGACAACCTATCGTCCTATAAGAACGCTATCTAGGAGCGCAAGTTATACTTACGATAATTTAGTTTCTAGAGTCTCACTTAGAGCGTCCGGGTCGATGCCGTTTAGAAAATATTCGACGACAACTTTCCGACCTTCATAAGATAAATCCCTAGATAACCGCTTAATACCCCTACTAGAAATATTATAAGTATAGGTATATCTAATTATAGAGTAACTTACTTAAGTACTTTTCTACAGCCATCATGAAGCACATTATTATAGTCTTTAATAGATAGTCCTACTATATTACAGCTGAGAATACTATAGTATATCTTACTTATGGAGAGGTAAAATGGAGAACGAGTCACCCTAAGGAAAGGCGTGTAAGGAAGAAACCTAATTAGACTTCTCTTCGTCTCTTTAATCGTATTCGGAGTATTTCTAGAAGGAGCAGTAGGTAGTAGCCATGGATACAAATTAGCATTTCTATATGTAGAACTATATTATCAGCGAAGATTTCGTTAACTTCTCGGCGTTTAGCGCCCTAAGCTAAATTAAAGGTTGCTTTATCAGGTATGTTATGAAACAGTGGCTATAAGAAGCTATCTATCGAGGTTAGATAATGAATTAAGGTTTCAATTACTTCGAGGTGCATACTATAGAATCTAATATAGTAACTATTCGTGATATCCTTTAATAGCACAATAGGCACAGCTTAATAGTGTTGCGCCAGATTATATCTGATTGTGTCCCTATCCGAGCGGTGGACTTCTAACCTAGCTAGCCAAACCACTAAAATGGAACATTTTTGGACATGCTTTGTAGATAGGAAACTAGGCCACCGGAAGACATCTTGTATTCGAAACCACCATCTTCCAGAGGTTTCATCGGAATAGGAAGTCAATTAGCGACGACAAGAACTCGACCTTCAGCATCCATTCTCATAGATGCGCTAGCTGAGTATGGATTACAACGCAACGAAAAGCTGGTGGTAGGACTAAATGCATATATATAGTTTCGTTAAGCTAGCACGAATGACGTTGCTATCTCGTTGATAATCGAAGGTTCGAGTTTAGGTTAGTATCTCCTATCGATAAGGTGGTCGGGTTCGTTGACCGTTATGAAAGACCAACCTTGGAATTTAGGGGCTTCGTCATCTATAGATAATCTTCCGGCGTTGCAGGAAAAAATGTCGGCGTTTGTCATAATCGCACAATCAGGACGAATAAACAGGGCTCATCAGGCCATTTATCAAAGCGATTGACCCTTTCGAAATGTGAAGCTTTTGCTCCATCTCCACATCAAGAACTCAGGAGCCATCAACTCCCTCTGGCAGTAGTCATAACATTGACTCAGATGTGACCAGGTACTTCTCAGCAAAATTGCCACGTTAAAAGTAGCTTAAGCTGATGTATCCTCACTCAAAGGCTCCAGGAATGTAAGTCAACAGATTTTTCAGTTGTCTAGTTACCGAGGAGCTCTGTTCAGGTGGCTCCTAATCCCCGTCGGCCGTTGCGACAAAGGGCGCAACGGGTAATAGGGATAATAGGGTGCGAGTGAACCGGTTGTCCTGCATATGTGGGGCATAAGATAATCATAGGGAGCATCGGTGATTTCTCCACAATCGCTGCTAGGTCCAGAGGCCCTGCCGGTTCTGAGTGTTAACTGCCGTGTATTCAGGTAGTAAGTAGTCATGCCTCGTGCCGAGGTCCTAGTTGGTGGTTAGCACTCGTGGGATTTTGGAAATGCACATTCCCAGGCACTTAGCCAGGCCAGCCTCGGCAAAGTGGAAGATACGGGTGGGCATGTAATATGTTGATACTGCCGCCTCGAACCTGCTGGAAAATTACAAGGCAGTCACCTATGTTTGCTTTCGGCTATCTACATCTCCCCTTGGAATGTTGACTATGTCACTAGGTGCTACATAGCGTGGCCGGCAAATGTTGATGCAGGATATTCCCGGTTAAAAGGACTTCCACACAGCTTGGCGCTGGATACAGGAATAACTAATCGGATGCCCAAATGGTCAGATTCCTTGCAACTAGTTAGTGTAGGCGAGAGGGAAAATCTTGGTCTGTTCAAGCAACAATACAATGTGGCTGAATCATGATAATTTCCTAGTTAATCCCAGGACCCGCGCAGCTTTGCCGGCCAAGTCTCAACGATTCCCTCCCTTAAATGAATACCTCCCTCCAGTGATGAGATAGGTGCTACCACCAAAAATGCCCACCGGAACGAGTAACCGTGTTACGGCTATCTCAATCCCAACGTCTAGATACGGCGGACATCAGTCGTATTCTTTTCATCTTCAACATACTCCACTGTTCCTTGTTCTGCCATGTCTGCCTTGAGTTGGGCATTGGTCGCTGCTTGCACATCGTTTGATTCGCCATCGAAATACTTGGCAATTTCCTCCATTGGCACGTATCGAGTTTCCACCACAAAAAAGTACAAGAACCAAACTTCGAAGCCGAGGAAGACGCAATAAAAGATGTAGTACTTCCAGTGGAGGGCTCCCATAGCCATAGGATTAATGAATTGGTTGAAGAAAACAGCTGCGAGGGTAACGAAGCCGCCGATTGTAGCCGCTTTCGCACGCAGACCGTAGGGCATAATCTCCGTAGTGTATGTCAGAGGCATACCAGTCCTTTTCCCGATTAGATAAGATTCCAAAAAGCTAGGATAGTACTTACTTCAAGTTGTAGGAAAAGTTGTACATGTAGATAAGCGCCACCACGCCGCGCCCAAGTCCTGCACTTGGATTCTCTTCAATAGCATAGCGCGCACTCAGAATTGTCCATATCACGAAACATGTAAGCATGCCGAGCGTACTGGCCATGAGAATAGGGCGTCGTCCCAAGCGGTCGATGTAAAATGCGGCGAATAAGTTGACGAGGAGAGACATAGCTTTAGACCCGCCATTAATTCCAAGCTGCTGGTTGGGGGTCTTGATGCCGATATCGTCCAGGATGAGTTTCAAATAGTAGGCAATAATGCCATTACCAGACCATTGGCCAAAGAGAGCGATTGCAATAACTAGGGAAATCCTGTGGCGATTGCCTTTTGTGCGAACAAGATCAAGCCACGCAGTGTTGCGATTCACTTGCTTGTCGAGCTCCAAAGCGGTTCTAATCTCAGTATACTCGAGCTGAACAAATTCATCGTGCTCGTTGCCCTCGCCATGGTATTTCGCTAGCATCTGCAGGGCCTTGTGGTGCTCGTCGCGATTCATATAAAATCGAGGGGATTCCGGGATAAACCAGATAACAACCATGACTATAACAGTAGCCCAGGCTTGTAGTGCTGATGGCAGTCTCCAGGCCCAGTCGCTTTTGATTTTGAGAGTCCCGAAAGTAGTCCATGCTGCAACGAATGAGCCAACCGCATAAGAGCAGCCCATGAAAGTTGTGATAATGGCTCGGTCTTGAGGGTGGGCGATCTCTGCGCAAAGAAGGGGGCCGCCGTTGGTGGCAAAAACCATACCGAATCCAAGCACAAATCGAGCAGATAGGAACATCCCATAGTTTGCGGCACCAGCCTGAATGGCGACGCCTGCAATCAGAATAGTGGAGCCGAGAATAACGCATTTCTTTCGGCCAAAACGATCACAGATAATCGGAACCAATGGAAGACCTGCTATCGAGCCAAGACTCATCGACGAGCCAAGTAGACCGAGGATGACTCCCTTGGGATGACCAAAGTAATTTTGCCAGTATGGCAAAGACTGGAGAGAGTTCATCATAGATCCATCGAAGCCATTTGCAATGTTGACGAAAATCAAAACGACACAGTAGAAATAAAGCCTGCGCAAGTTTGGCTTCTGCCACCACTTGATCCGCGGAAAGGTACGGCCAGCAAAGAAGAAGTGGCCTTTTGGGGGCTTTTCGAGCCTTGTTGCTCGAGAAGCCTTAAGCTTCTTAGCGCCGAACCTCATTGTCATTGTCGGGAGACTGCAGAAGGTATGGCAAGAGGATACGCGATGGTAGATTAGTTGAGTGAGTACTGGGCGCTCTCAACGATCCTTATGTAGCCGGAGTGGCCTCTTCATTTAGCCAGAAATGCGGAGGTTAAGACCTTGGGTACTCCACCCGAAGTCTTATTACGAACAATCAAGTAACCACTTCCGTGATAGGGCAATCAATTCCAGATACCTCGGATGTTAGCATTCGGCCTTGTTATGATATCCACAGTACCGCCCCAGATCTTGGCATTAGGAACCCCTGTATTCCCCGCACTGAAGATGGTGATTGCCCGAGTGGACGAGGAAAGACTATGGCCGCACTGAAGAATACTAAGCCACGAGGTAAGAACATGGTGCGGTTTTCCTCAAATCATGTTGTTGATTCTAGCAACCGACGGGTAGCATTCAGCCTGATTGTGAACTACCCAGCTGTTCTCCTCAGCTTCGACTGGGTTCCCAATCTGCCGATATCGACGTTTGTAGAGGTAACAGACAACTTGCTACCGCGTGCTTTCAACGCAATCATTATTGGGGAAATTAACAAAAGAGAAAGGTCAGATAGATCGTGTCCAAGTTCGGGCACAATCCCAAGCCCGCTAAAAGATTCCATAGACTTTGGAGCAATATCTGAAGATTGTATTACAATCTACGGTAGGTCGCTAGCAGCTCAAATGCTTCTACCCTACTGTCACAGTTGAATTAAATCTAGGCTAATTAGTAACTATAGCGCACCCCAACGTGAAAGCAACAGCCTTCCGTTTTCTCTGTTTCAGTGGGTGGCATTTTAAGTAGGTGGATTTTCAGAGCCTCGTTTCTTGGACTTTGCCAATCTAGCCTCCCCTGCGTAAGCGCTCTAGATCATGAACTCTGCATGAGACTTGATATTCTTTGTTGCTAAAGACGATCACTGAAGGCTTTTTGCAACCAGGTCTCCTCACGTTCTTGTCTTTACTACTTTCCAAGTAGGATGTCTTTAAGACTTTAAAGCACATCATGCCACTATAGAATGGAATTTATTGCTGCCCCGCTAGGCATCGCTAAATAGGGGACTCTGTTATATGTATATCTCACCTCAATAAATACTGGGAAATAACAAGATGCTCCTCTTCATTAACAAGTACGGTAAGCACTAGAGTCCTACACCACATCGCCCGGACAAGAGCGCCGTCGGTTCTCAGGTACAGTGAAATATTCATCTGTGATAAGGTCAGAGACCTGAGTTGTCTGAAAAGCGAACGCACCTCATTAGTAATATCACTTTGCAGAGACAAATGACTTCTCAGTGGCTCTGAAACTCAGTCAGTTAATTTTCATGACGAACTCCTCAATAAGGCATGGCAAAAGCCAAGAGCCAATGAAGGGCATGTTGGAAATGGAAGAAAATTTGTTCTAGTTGCAAGACCACAAATATCGAGCGCGTCAAAAGTGTACGCCCCATGCATCCAGTCTATCCAGATTGAATGCCCAGGGAGTGGATACAGCTTGAATCAAAACACAACGCCTGGGTGAGGGCGAACCTGTCGTACAGCCTTTAAGTCCGTACGCGTCGGTGGTCAAAGAAGCTGGTGAGATTGACCACTCAGGTTGAGGAGTGTCATTCGGTCTGCGTCAGCTGGTAGGGCCTGGAAAGGCAGATCCCTTCGATCCAGATGCACTGTCCATCACTGCCCATCACGGAAGAAGTATGTCTTGCCTTCAAAGGAGCTTCACGTGCAGGTCGATGGAACATCTGACTCCGCAAATCAGCATGAAATGGACCCAGGCACTAATCTGTGGGTGAAAAAGCCACCATCTACGGTCCTTACTGGAATCCTTCACTGCTAGCCGTATGGCTCAATCATTACAAGAATAGAAGCAAAAATATGGTTACGTTGGCGCTGCGTCATGGACTTCCGCAGTTACTCGTCCCATGATTAGCTTAAATGAACATATTTCGCAAGTTCCCTACGGACTGGTAGGCTTACTAATATGTGCATTCAACATAGAAGACTGACATGAATGTCGATTTCATCTCACTGGGCTGAAGCAAATCGCACAACTTGGCGGTTGGCTTGCATCCACGGAGCGCTCGCTCCAGCTCCTTCAGCTTGTTGGCGTACCTCAAATTTCAAGTCACACTCTCACGGAGCCGATATTTGGTTCTCACGACTTCTGTACAGTGAGTGGCATGAATTCTCGATTACATAGAAGGCCAGGGATCTTCTAGGCTCCAGAACACATTTACCGGGTACATTTTGCCAGGCGATGATAGTTCTAGGAGAGATGGGGAAAATCTTTCTCGACGTTCAAGAGTTTCATTGAATTGCTATTCAGTCTAGCCAATATTCTGAAGATCCAACTATCCACCACGAAGTGCAAAACTGGCTCCAGTTTCGGTCTAATTTTTTCAACATAGCGCTTATCAAATACTACTGTGCCTAGTAAGACGAGCAAGATCTTCAGAGGAGGGCTTTTATCCTCCAGTTCCTGGTGGCCCTGTTTGCTTACTTGCCACCAAGTTTTGTATCTTGCAGTACTGGATCCATCTCTTATCGGCTTGGACTCTATCCCATTCTTTCACATCACCGGGAATTTGGCTACAGTGGTATCACACTATGACAATAGTCTCATAGCATTCAAGCCCGAGATTCTCGATTTATTGCTGCGGGTCACATTTACCAGTGCATATCAAGAACTCTCAAGATGAAACGACGTTGACCCAAATGTCCCCCGTAGCCCTAACTCTACTATTTTCCCCTAAAATTTTAGCTCTCGTCCGCAGCATGACGAGCGTTTCCAGAAGATAGAAAGTCGCCTCGAAAATTTCTTATACGCTCTTAGGCTATTCAGCCTAACACCTTACTACGCATAGTACTATAGATAAGTAATATCATATTTAGTCTTGCTTTAAAGCTGTGATCTCCCCCATAGTTATATGTATTCCCAGAAAGTTCGTCAAGTACTTAGACATAGTATCGCCAGATAAGAATCGGCTTACACCTTAATTTCGCACGAGCCCCTTGAGGTGACCACAATAATCCTTTTGCTGGGCACATGATACAGCCACATGATCAAGGTGTTGACTGGATCTTAGAATGAAAGTGAGAACGAATCCGCTAATCACCTGGTTACGCACATATCATCCGAAATTATCTGATTGTACAATGCGCCTTAGGTAGTTGTGTGCATTAATGCGTCCACATTATCCCATGTATCCATAGCATCGATGTAATTTGTTCCGGGATACCAAAGGAAAGACTGTAGGATGGACTGTAACTGCTTCTAATTATTTACGTCTACGACCTTCGCAAGCTTGGAGATTTCCGACATGAAACTACAACCAGCATGCGAGCCAATGGATGCAGTGGCACCCATGCCCAGTACCCAGAGCCGAATGTTTACTCTAGCCACTCGACCATCTCTAAGATGAGTCCTCTCCAATTCTCGGCGCACGAACCGAGTCTGTGTCTTGAAGAGGCCAGCAACAGGTAGGATTAAAACTAGATGTATTGCAACTCTTTCAAGAACAATTGACGTGGATCCTGCAAACCTAATCTGACAACAGCCCACGTCCAGAATAGGCTAGGTAAACAGCTGCACAAATGCTAGACTCCTTAACAGCACTCCGTGGGTCGCTAAGTTCGTGATTGAAGTGCTCAGCCGCATTTGCGTCAACCTTAGGTTCAACTGGGGCCGTAGAGTGTACACCCTGATGAACGCGATCATGGCGCATCCTTGTGCGAAAAGGATTGAATGTAAGAGGTCTGGGATGGCAGTGATCGAAGACATTACATTCATGGCGAAAGTTTTCCGTAAACTGCATCTGATGAACCTTTCGATACCATATCCTCAAGAGTGTAAGGAGTTGTCTAGATGTTAGCAAGAAGAGACCTTGAGCTACAGAAGCCTCCGGTTTCTCATCACGAAATTCGATAGAAGTATTCCTTCATGAAATTATCATGAGATTGTCTGGAAGGATAGAAGGGTGAAAGGGAGTCCTCGGCACCGACTTTGCACCCATAGTGGCTCATGGAGTTTGTCAAACCGTAGCGATCAGGGTTGTAGCCCCAGGCTTTCCTCGTTGAACACGATCTTTCGAGCGATGAGACTTGTAAGACCAACATCTTTGGTGTAATGCATCACCGTGCGTTTTGGACGTGAGCCTCGGGTGTTAGGTAGTATTTCTCTGGGTCGAGCGTAGTCTCCAACTCCAACTTCTCGTCGGGACTTCGCTGCTGATTTAATATTAATTCATCGTCGTCAATGTTCAAACCACGAACGCGGTAAGGGACGGCCCTTTTCCAATTCACATTAGGTGAATATTCCATGGCTTCATATGGGATCCAGTTAAAGCCCAGCAGCTCTCCGCTCATGTTGAGAATCAGGCTTGCTTAACAAATCCGGCATTCACGAACGTGGCTAACGAAGCGTTTATTGCCCAATTTGGGACTGTGTGTAGGCGACCAGCAAGAATAGTGGACATTTCACAAGAGAAGACAATGCGTTCCAGTAGCTTTCAAAGAAAACAATCGAGTATCAGCACAGTCGCTTTCCAGTGGCAGAGATCAATATCCTAGTTGAGGTCTTGCATTTCCCAAGCTGAGTGAGAGAAGGAAAGGGGATTTAAGGTTTGGTTGTTCAATCTACTTTCACTCACGTAGCAGGATTGTCACCCTCATCTCCGAGTTACCAATCTCCCCACCCATTTATCCACTGTGGACTTGAGAATTCTTGATTTCCTTCCAACGCCTGTGACTGTCTGAACTTGCTGATAATATCATACCAAAGGCACTTTTCCAGTTCGGTCTTCAATTCATCCCAGGACTGCCTGTTCGTCGGGCGCTCGACGGCGAAATGGACTACGATCTTTCATTAAGACCCATAGTTGTTATCCATAACATCAGGGAAGGTATTTCATGCCACCTTGCTTGTATTCCTGCTGACGAAATGTGTCCTTTGAATCTCCAATCGAGGATAGCAAATGGAGCATCCTAGTGAGCCATGGAGAAGGCCAACACCAGGCAGGGATACTTGGATTCGGTGGGACTCCCTGAATATTGTTGTCGGGCTTCAAACTTAGGCCGTTTCTAGATACTTCAAATTCAAGACCTTGTCCGTTCCATGGTATTGGACTTTTTGGATCCTATGGAAGTCGATCCTTTTGGATTCTCAATCTTGGCCATGAGAATCCTGATGCATGGGCAGGAATGAACGCTGTTTCCTTCTGAACTTGGTCTGAGGATGGTGTGGCTTCTACGAATTTGATCGCTGAGCGAAACGCCCTCGTGTGATCGGTGTTGGCTTTGGAGGTGTTTCGAGGCGATAAAGATTGCATCCTTTATTCATTAGGTATGCGAACTTCCACGAGAAATTCATTGCTGACACCAGTGATAGAAGGAAGGCCGGGTGCCTTGAAATCCGGGCGATGAGGCCCAGGCCAAACGAAGACGAAACGATTTGATGTACGATGAGCTGACATACTGGAGTGTTCCTCCTATAGAGAACGTTTGCTTACCTACGAGCTGTCCGAGTAACATCAGCTCTTGAATAAAAGCAGTTGATCGCCTTGCAGGTCCTCTCCAGGGAGGGATCGACTCCTGACCCCTCTTGCCCGATAGTTCTACTTGATGAATCAACCGTGCGCCTCTTGCTAACACAGATCCAAACAACGGGGATTGATGTTCAATGGTAGTCGCTCATCTCAATGCGAGAATCCCAAGCTTAATTTCGACTAGGACATACTTGGTAGGCAAGATACACCAATCATCTTGCCCCCTAGAATATGAGAACTGGCGATCTGTGGAAAGTGTATTGTCTGTAGACTAACAAAAGCATTTCGGAGACATAATTCCCACCAGATACTCGGATCGACTTCTAAAAGACGATGAAAACAGAGTACAGAGGACACAATGGGAACGTCATCGTTGAAGGGAAGGGGCTTTTGCCCAAGCATTTATGCGATGGGCGTGTTTGTGGGTCTCAAGATCTGAGCCAACAGATCGCAAATCAATTAAAGCATTGAAGGGGTCAAAGTTGCTTCAGTAATAACAACACGGCTTTTACGCCTCACGTTGAGGAATGGGTGAGGGACCCAAGAGAGACGGAGCGGGCGCCTGAACAAGCCCGAGCGATGATTTTTGCGGCGCCACCATCAATAATTAGGCCAAAAGGTAGTGATATGGTTGGTCAAGTCAACAAAAATTATGCCTCGCGATTCGCTAATATGCCGGACCCAAGGTTTCTAGGTGCCTCTCAGCTGAGTCCAAACTGGAGGTAGAAATGAAGATTCTGGAACGGGATGGTAGAATTGCATTAGCATATCAATGAATCCTCCAGTAAATCGGTCGGCTTTCCAGGTCCAATGAGCTGCGCGACCGTCAGATTGATTACTCCGTGATTTCCTACCTGGGTAGGAAATCATATGGATGTGCGAGCCTCCTCGAGTCATTGTCTGTGAGAGAGGCAAAGCACCGGCAGATTCAGCCAGTATATTGATATTCGAATGGGCGTGTAGTTCGTGATGACTAGTCAAATGATAGATTTGTTTCCCAACTCTATGGGCGGAGGAGGGAGCAAATTACCTCTAGTGAAAATAGTAGAGCGCACAGTGCCGATTCTTTCTCTGCGAGGGCTATAGAACGACCAGTCTTCTGGCGGCTGAGCATCTATTCCTGCAGATGCACCAATGTCCTAGCACAATCTTGGCCCATCGTTAAATATTCTGGGTGAAACGTGGGACGTCATACCAAGGTTCCATCATTCAAAGTAAGGCATCAAATACTGACTTTTGTTGTTTTTTGGTCCAATGGGTTGATCGGCAAGCCAGACTTCAACCTAGCCCCGGTCATCCGCCTGAGGCGAACCTGAATATTGCCCCGAAATCCCCACCGGGCCAGAGATGACAACCACTGACATGGTCGCGCAAGAGAAGGTCAATATTAAAGTCCATTAGGCTTGACCAGGTGATCCAGTCTTGGGATTCCTGCTGATTCAGTAACCACTCGGCGTCGAAGCGAGTCGTCGGGGTTTGCTCCGATTTGTAAAACTCTACGTCCGGTTTGGCCAATTCATCTCCTAGAACACTAGACCAGTGAGCATGCCCAATCGGATGATAATATAAGAAGTCGTCGCCTGTTCCATGATTTTTGGGGTCCGGGCTAGCATAGTAGGCGGCGAAATGTCGACCATCCTCGGCGGGGACAAGCACAACAATTACTCGTGCTGCGGGGGAAGGGAAGCGGTCCAGCAGCAATGGCGATTCGATGCTGTTGCACATCTCAAACGTGAACAGCCCGTTCAAGCTTTTAGCAAAGTCTTGACCACGGAAGAGACCTTCCTGTCCAATTCGGTTGAGCCTTTCCATGGTCCACCTAAGCCAGCTTGGTCTCGGGCTGCACTGTCCAGTGAAATACAGCATAGGTATGAAGCCTATTCCCAAGGTTTCGCGAGGGACGTAGGAATTAATCCTTGCGTTGGGTGCTCCCTGTGCTTCAATGAGCGAACCAGCCAATTGCATGACTTCATAAAAGTACAGGTATGCATAGATTTCGTATCTGTCAGAGTCGTGTTCGAGCAGGCTCAAGGCCCACATTGTCCTCGCCATGTAGAAATTGTACAAGGCGGCGACAATAGAGGTCTGTGGTGAGAGTGGAGACGATGGTTTCGGTGGGATTGCTAATTCATCTATGACTTTCCACGTGAAATGAGAGAGGGTTGAGACGGTAGCTTCGGACTCGAACTGGGGAAGATCCCGTCCATTGTTGTTTTTCCAATCTCTGAGCTCTGCCTGGAAGGTGAATATCTTGTCTGGCGAGACCAGGCGCTGATGTGAGGTCAGTGGATTCCAGATCAGATCCTCGATGTCTGGGCTGTCTCCAACTAAGTCAAGCAGACGCTGAAGCATTAGCGATGGTGGCATTGTGGTATTGGCGGTACTCGTCGAGGACGGGGTCAGCACACTCAGTGCTGGGCTCGGGCTGCGAGATTGGGGAACGGGCAGCCGTAGGTTCGGGAAGGGAAGAAGAATCCGAAACATCTGTGCAAGGTTTCGGATATTCGAACCGATCGTGACCATATGCGGCTGTCCCTGCTGGTTCTCCTCTCCCTGCATAAATAGGAAATAGCGAGATGCAACATAGGCATGTCTGAGGGCAGCGGGGAAATTGCCCGGCAAACACTGTTCTATCATCAGCACTGTCACTGTGATCGTCAGACAGTATTTGATACATACCTCAAACCAGGTGAGCAGAAGTAGGGCGCCAATAAATAACTCCGGTGATCTCCCAGCCTCTTGTTCCAGATGAGCAGATAAACCTTGCAAAGCTTTGGTGTAGGCCTGAACAGCGGTCACCTTGTTGTCCACGCCACCCTCACGGTCAGTTTCATTCGTTGACGACATCATCAAGATAGCCCTGTGGGCCCCTCCAATGGCCATAATTGTATCGTAGAGAAACTCGTTTTCCCAGGCTTCTTGGCAAATCCTGTCCCTCCAGAAATGAAGCTCGTCCGGCCGAAAAAGAAGTGGCAATGTCCTGAACAAAAACTGATGATAGGCAAGAATGTCTCGAGCTCGGTTGTGTGGTCGTTGGATGGGGAGAGGATTGCTCGGCAGAGCCACGAGTGGGAGTCCGTCTGATCGCAGGTGCGGACTTGGAAGGGATTCTGAGTGAGGTGTACTTGTGCTTGTGCTGGGTGCCGGGGACTTGTCTACAAGATTGTCTGCTACAGGCCTCGCGGCACTTGGTCGTTGGGGCCGTCGTATTTCCACGTGGCGCTTCTCTTCGTATCCAACGCACTCGATGTTCGCCGCATTGCAGCGCTCGCAGGTTGGCTTGCCTTCATCGCATTTGACGCGGCGAGTACGACAGGTCAGACAGCCGGTTCGGCGCCGTCGTTTCTTCTCAGTCAAAGTCATTGCAGCAGTAGCGGTAGCAGCGACACGATACCGCCGTCAGTTTGCCTGCATGTTTCTCGAATCGGTCGCGTCTTTGGATTGGCAGGCGCGTTTGCCTTATCAGCGTCCACTGTACCCAGAACTCTGTACGTACGAGGGACATAAATAACAGTCCGCAGTCAGCAGTCTGGGTGGTAGTCCGGGGTGCTGGTGGTGACGAACGCCAAGCCCTCGAGAAACCCGCAACACTAGTGGCGCTCGGTGATTTGTCAGCGCTGAGCCGCCCGGCATGGTGAGTGGTCGCTGGGTCGGGTCTAGTGTGTTCTAAAAGCGGCAGGCCACTAAATTATCCGGAAGACCTGCCTTTCAAGGGTCCTACCAGTCTAATACATGGCTTAGCTCAGTGAGCGGCCAGCTTGGCACGCTAGCGAGCTTCTAGCTACTACTAAATACAAGTTACTAGGTAGGTCTCCTTAATAGCAGCCAATCCATCATCTTATTTTGCCATGAAACATTGCTGCTTTATCTATAGGTACATAGACGAGCCTTAGCCCCCCTCTCTCACTTAGGGGATACCATACCACTCACCACGCACTCGTCCATCTATCCATCCACCCATTCATCACTGCACAACCTCTCTATTCTCTCGTACGGAGTTACGACGGGAGGTAGCGGGGACATGAGCCATGTTCTACTTCATTCCATTTTCACAATGTATTCTGTCTGGGTTCAGGTTCAAAGCGTCAACTCTCCCACTCTGGCCAACTTGAACGTTGCCAGCCGAAGATGCCTTGAAAGTCCCTCTGGCCACCCTGGTCGTCCGTGGTTGATCCTCACTTGACGAGCCGACAGCAGCCCATCTACGGAGGCCGGGCTCCAAGTAACTCTGCGGACAGAGATGGCGACGGGTAACTGTCTAGCGGCTCCAACTTGCATGCGCTATTCTTCTGCTTCTGCTAGTCAGCCTCATCCCGCCAGCACTCAAGCCTTGTCATCTTGTCAATTGTTCCAGATAGCAGTCTGCGACTCGTTTGCAAGCTGATTGCTCAAACCTTTCTATCAGACCAATTAAATTCCTGTCTTCTGATCATCACCCTTATAATTCATCATTAAGCGCTGTCTGACTCTTAGCAATATCGCGGCCTAGTGCGCTCCAAGCCTTGAGCCGAACGGAGGAGGAACTCTCCTATCCCGGCTGCGCACGGCAGTTGTCCTGAAGTAGTGACTGGAGGGAGTCCTGCTAGACATAGCACAATGTCCCTGACGGGCCAGACCGGACCGCGGACGATCTGGCAGCCCCCGCCCGGCGCTCTACTACAAAATGACTTCGACTTTAGAAGAGGCGAGGTGGAATCGTGTTACTGTCTTGAAACCGGGCATTCTGTACTCTGCAACATTCTCCACGTCCAATTCCAATTATTGCTCTCCGCCGCAGACCATCAGGCAAGAGACGCCTTTCAAAGTCAAGATGGCGCATCACGACAAGGCTTTGGTGTGGAGGATGACACATTTGATCTTGATCCAAGGGGGAATTGAGTTGCAGGGATTGCCTTGTTGTCGAGTCGGCCTTGGATTTTTGTAACAGACATATCTACCGAGATGTGCTGTACATAGGCAGAAGCCAGCATAGACTGCAGATGTCCGAGCCCTCCTTACGAAAGAGGTCCAACGTCGCCACCCAAAGGAGCATCACTGGAGGCGCTGAAACAAATCTGCTCCAACTACCGGATTGGGCCAGCTACTCAAAAGAGTTTAGCTCCAGCTTGAATGGTCCTAATTTTAAATCTGGGCCTCAGCCGCAATTTCTTCCACCACAAACTATGCATGGCCTCCTCGGAAACACCAGACGCACTATCTAAGCAATGCGCTGAGTTGCATGCGTTCGCCAACTGTAATCAACAACATCGTTCCGAAATGGCCTTGGGAGGCGTTGGCGCCCCATCGATGATCCAATCGGGGAGAAGATTTGACCATTAAATTAACGGTGCTGACTGTAAGTTTAATCGAAGGCAATGCCGCCAGGAGCAAGTATCTAGCATAAGAACACTGAGGGACGCCGTCTCATGCTTGATATTCGCAGTCTGCATTTATTCCTTTCCGTTTTGCAAACCATATTTCACAATGGCTGCGGTTTTCTCTCCTTCCACTGCTTCATTTCTGAATACTCATCTTGTCTCGAATACCACTTCCGATCAGTTCCTATCTAAATTAGGCAATGCCGCTCTCAGTCCGGCCTCCAAATGGACTACAATCACTCTCCTTCTTATATCACCTCTCCTCATCAACTTTCTGAGGTATCTGCTGTTCAAGGATAAGCCTCCGCAAGGGCTCAAGCTTGTCCCGGGCCCGCCTTCAACGATTCCCTATATTGGCAGAGTTGATATCGACCCTATTGCGCCGTGGAACTCCATGAAAAGATGGGCGGACCAATTCAACGGAATGTTTAGACTCACCGCCTGCGGTGAAATGCATATCTGGCTTGGAGATAATAAAGTTGCCCAAGAGCTATACTGCAACCGAGCTGCCAACTATTCATCGCGGCCAGAGGTTGCAGCTGTGCCTGGGAGTGATAGTCAGGGCCAATATTTACCATTGCTTGAATACGGTGGTAAGTACTTTCCTTGTCATTCCTGACGTCGTTTCCATTCCTACCCACAACCCTTTAAATTGGGTTTGAACAATCTTGCAAACTCACCATCCCTAGACCATTGGCGAATGCAACGAAAATTTGCTCATACTTCAATGAATGTCGCGTATAACAATCAGTACTACGGCTACATCACCCTGGAGGCGAAAAGGTTCTTGTACAAGCTTTTGCAAGATCCCCGTGATCATTATGGCCAGACAGATCGATACTGTGGCCGAATTTCTTCCAGGCTCTGCTATGGCTCTCCAAACTCCGCAGCAGCACATTGTAAAAACGCAGCAGAATTCATTCCACAAATTTCGCCCTCGGCTAGTGGGCCGATTACCAACATTCTCCCTTTCCTTGGTGCCCTACCAGAATGGATCAATTCAGCAAAAGTCCCCTGTCGGCAACGACGGGAACGAGAGGAGAGGCTGTGGACAGGGCTTATGGGTCAAGTACGCAAAGAAATGGATGCAGGCACTGCATCAGTCTCGTACGCAAGATCATATTTCGAGAGAAGAGACGCAGCCTCTATAAGCGAGGGCAAGTCTTTCGGATTTGATGAACATGAGGCGGCATACGCCGTCGGTATGCTTTGCACCGTGGCAATATTTACTATCGGAGGTCCTCTCTACTGCTTCTTCTTAGCCATGGTGCTACATCCGGAATGGCAGGAGAAATGTCGCGCCGAGGTTGATGCCGTCGTGGGTTCAGAACGGATTGTTGAACTCGGTGACTCCCCAGACTTGCCAATTCTACGTGCGTGTATCAAGGAGTGTCTCCGTTGGAGACCACCAGTTCCGCTTGGCGTTCCACGTCTCGTACAACAAGACGACGACTACGAGGGGTTTTTCATCCCGAAAGGCGCGGTTGTTCACGCCATAGACCTCTCGATGGCTCGTGATCCTGATCGATATCCCGACGCCGACACCTACAATCCTGCGCGATGGCTGGAGAAAGAGTTTCCCACCTATCAAGAACCACTGACAGTTTATCCGCGATTGCTTGGTTATCATGGCTTCGGACGAGGTCGCCGCATGTGCCCCGGCATTGAGATCACTGAAGCCGAGCTCTTGGTTGCCTGTGGCTCACTGCTTTGGGCCTTCGCTATGAAGCCTAATGTCGGAAGCGACGGCGAACCACAATGGCCAGATTCCAAACACTTCACCAGCAACGTTATTGGTGGACCTTTACCTTTTGAGTTCGAGCTGAAAGTCAGGAACGAACAACGCAAGGCAAAGATTGAGGAGCTTTATAAGATGAACGAACATCTATATTGAGATGTGGTGGAACTACCTCATAATTGCCACAATTATTCCTGTACATTTTTCCAGATTATCAACGGAAGCGGCCATCGTATTTTATAGGTCAGTTCACTAAGAATATGTCGGGGCTGGAAAGTGACCGGGCGCAACTGTGATATCCACCAGTAATTAATTAGTTTATTTATGATTACATCGCTTTTGCGAGTCTCGTTGAAAAGGCTCGAGTTGTCGCTCCGGCGCCTTCAAATGCCAAGATGTGTGAAGAAAATCAGCAACTCCTCGGCTCCAAAGCCGTATATTTATCCACCAATGTAAAAGTCTCGACGTCACCACCCGTTAATCTGGGGTGCATCTCAATGAGGCCGCATCTTTAGACGGAGAGCCTACCCAACGAGCAATCCATACAAAAGTGTCCAAATATCGGGCAGTGGTTTCTCGGCAGAGATCCTGTGAACTGCGAGATGTCTACTACTGAGTGGGCGAAACCCTTTAACTTGTTCCATAGCCAATATTTTGACACAAGCCTGCGACCAGGGCTTCAACCAATACCAGGTACCAGACCTCTATCATTGAGCGCTGCAGTACTGCCCCCGGCAATTTATTATATTGCTCTACTTCTCCTTGCTCCCGCGCCTCCGCATTTCGTGGACACTTTTCCTGCGACTGTGGCGCGAAGCACGCTCGCAGTGGTCTCATGTGTATTCTTCATCAGACTCTCGCTCTGCTACCATGTTCCGCAGAGTATTGGGCTGACTTATCAACTTGGCCTGGTGTCACTGTACGGAGCATGTCGAGTCGTTGACGCTTTCTTCATCAGCCCTTATGTCTTCGGGCATATCCCGAGAAGGGTACATTATCAACATAAGATCAGACCTAGCACCCCGGAGACAGAGGTTCGCTCTGGCTTGAGGGAGTGGACGAACGGTGGACTTACGGATCCTTTCACGTTTGATATTCAATTACAACTACGCCGTGATAGGGGCGTGGTTGTCGCGGGAAACAGTCCCTCATTGGCAGCACATCATTCGGCCATGAAAGACAACCTGGCTGATAATGGTGCTTTAGAGCCATCTTCCCGTGCTAGATCGATTTCTTTCGCGGCACTGCGCAGGTCAATCAGTGGCCCCGATCCTAACCCGGTGTACGAGATTGCAATGACGGAGAAAGGATGGCCCGAAACACTTTCTGATCGAGCAGCATGGGCCCTCGAACTGGAGCTCAGCATGCGAGGTGTCGGCTTCACCTGGACCACAACAGACGTCCGGCATTCCAGGAAAACGTGGCTTCCTGGCGTCAGGAATCGACTTCACAGTATCCTTGTGCATGCTCTTCCAGTACTCTTACTCAGTTGGGTAACTATCAGATCGGTCTATACTCGTTTCCTTCTTGCTCCACGCAATCATACTGTGGGACCGACTCGAGATCTCTTTGATGAAAGATTACCCATCCATGTTCAGCTATGCCTAACTGCCGCACTTGGGGCATTTCTTATGTCCGCATTTTCTCTGGGGCACTCCCTGTTTGCGATAATGCTTAGCCCGCTTGCGCCGTCACCCCTGGCTTTCTTCCCCCCACTGTACACGACTCGGATCTGGAGGATCACCTCAGTGCGGCAGTTCTGGTCTTTTGGCTGGCACCGCCTTTTCGGACGACTCTTCCTCGTCTACGGTGTATGGCCTGGCCAGTGGACCGAAAGGAAGTTGACGGGAAAGGGCAAACACGAGTCTGCAGATATTGGTAAGGTGTTGGGCGGGTTTCTATCCAGCGCAGTTGTCCATAGTCTCTCAGTGAGAGCTGTCCTTGGAGGCAATTGGTTCGATGCTCTGGGAGAAGCACGATTTTTTGCTCTGAATGGTGCCGCGGTCATAGTCGAAGAAACGGCAATACGTTTCGTCCGCAGTTGGAGGAAGCGACATGCAATGGACGCTCACATGTGGTATGATCCATTGGTTAGTCGAGTCTGGTGGATCGGGGTCATTTTATGGACTGGAAGAAACTTTGCCAGGGGTTGGGTGAAGGCAAACCTTGTTCGTGAAATAGCGTTTATGTAATACTCTGGATGAACAGTCAAGATGATTCAGGTTCAGGGGATCTTGGAAATTGTGCAAATCTTCCATAGCAAAGGACAGGAGTCCAGCCAGTACGATGATATTGAAAAGCCCTCACCGGGTGCAGCCACCGGCGTGCAGTTTTGTTTGGATTATCCCACCTCATTGAGCGCCGAAGCTTGCGTTAGGCCGCAGTTAAATCTCGCAGCAAAACAAGCAGCATGGATCTTTCCGCATTGATACTACGATACTGCATACCTGAGGCAAACTTTGCACTAGCCTGGAGGCTGGACGAGAAGCGCAAGCCTACATGTGTACTCATACTCGCGAGCTGAACAGACGCGGACGTGGTCGGTGCCAAGATATGCCAAGATATGCCAAGGTCCCCTCCCGGTTTTCGACCCCGAACGGCAGGTCGCCCGATAGCTAAAATTGACCTGCCCTGGTCCGTCTGCTCCAATCCCCGTTCACCGTCCTCATTGCGCCCGCCAACGTCGGTATGTGTCTACGTAAAGTAGACACTTGGGTACCTACATACATATGATATGGTCGCCCACTCAAATGTATACAACGTTGTGGGGTAGCCCATAAATGGCGTTCAGCCCGACGAGATGCAAATCTTTGCAGCTGATTCGCCCCCCGGCATGCCCAGATCCTCCAGGCCGTCGCTTTCCTGCGGCTAGAACGATGGACACTGCAGGCGAACTTCCATAAACAGAATTCAGATACCCGTTTATGTTGACCTCGCATCGCCGGACGTGGTTCTTGTTTTGTTGGCGGAACCTACTGCGAATGGTCCTTTTTTATCATGGCCTTCCTACATGGAGCTTCCTGGGTTCAACCTTCCGCAATCTTGTGTTTCCCTTCTGTCAGATCCCACTCCTTCGCGCCTGCCCATCATCTCTCGCGTGAACGGGGCGCCGCTTCAGGTCTCCCAGCCTTCGCAAGGCGTGATAGGTCTCCCGCTGCTGTTCATCTAAGACCAATTAGTCGACGAGGCAAGATTTTTCTTGTGCGAGGGGCCTAGCCACGCCTGTTTAGGTGACAGTGAATGCATCTTTGTCCTTGTTTTTCGTGCAGTACTAGTCTCGAATCCGGTTGACAAGTGCCTGTCTTGATAAATGTCGTGGAAGCTGGCGGAGTTGCGATGGCGACAGGAAGCAGGCCTGCAGGGAAATGTCAGGAGCTACAAACAACAGGAAAAGTCTTCTGAAATCTGGTCTCCAAGATACCGGGATAGTATTCAGATGATCGAGACAGCTGACCTCACTCCTGCTGCCGTCTGGTCGCAGCATGCCTGGGAAGACGCTCGCAGTGTGCGATATGTTCGCAATCCAAATTTCACCATGCCTCTCGGCTTGAGCGGCCAAATTGTACCGGACCTTGACGTGTCAGAATCAATCAGTCCACATGTATCAGTTTCTTCCTCGACACCACTTCTCAAGGGACCAAGAACTAGGTCGACCATCAGCTTTGAATATGTCGGGCGGTCACAGTCGAACGGGCAAGAGTCCAAGCTCCCAATCTTCCCAAACCGCAAGGAACCATGCACGCACAGTTCAAAGGCACAAACCCCATTGTCGCCTGTGATACCCGCCATCGACCAGATTCCGCATTCAATGACAATGAGTAGCTGCCATTCCTCTGAGCTGGAAGGTCAGTGATGATACTTCACCCTCACTTCAAACCCATTCTTCTGATACCTGACCGCAGGTCCTGTACTTATGGCCATGTCCAACCACGAACAATCCAAAGCGTCCACTCATCAATTTCACATTCCTGAGAGTCAGATTAGATTCACGAATGCATCGCCAATAAACTCATCACTTTACGCTGGAGCCAACCACAACCACACCATTTCATCTGAGCAGCACCCCCAACAAGGAAAATGTCACAGTTTCAATCAAGCTGCAACTTCAACTGATGATCAGGTCGTAGGGATAGATAGGCATTCTTCGAATGCTGCACTGAGCGAGGCACTCTGTGAGAGTTACAAGGACAACGTGGATCTATTGAGGAAGAATGGCCCCCAGCATTCCGATATTTGTACTACAATGCCAACGGCTGACGGCTTTTCTATCGAATCAAGGCACTCTGCAACCCCCGATGTTTTCGACAAGACTTGCTCCGGATATCCCCGATTCACTACCGCTAGCCAACGACGAGCCACACTCCAACTTTCCCCGGATCTACCATCGCCACATGCAGATATACTAGGGCACCGTTACAAAACTAACTTTGGTGAGTCGCTCTCTGAGCGTGACCTGCGATTTCCCTTGATATGTTCAGTTTCATCCGAGGAAGAGGATGAAAGGGAAAATTCTGCGCATCCGTCACTGCCAGACACATGGATACCCTTACAAGATCTCCCTCGCAGGGAAGTCTTGTCCGCGCATGGAATCCTTCATGAGGCCAAATACCACCAGGAATCGAGTGCAGTATTCGAAACCTCAGAAATTCCCGAAGAAACAGTGTTAAGCGAGAGAGAATCCACAACTCTGGATGAAATTGTCTCCCAGTATGCTGATTATGACCCATCTCGATCGCCATCGTATCCCCAAAACGAATACCGTGAAGCTCTGAAGGAGATTGAAGACGGAAAGAAGAGCCCTATGCATGGAACTTCAGGATGCGCAATAACGGAGCATCGTGATCTCGAGTGTAGGTTGGATCGAATGGGAGCTCAATTAAATACTCCAGAGCAACTTCTAGACAACAGGGATATCCGTCACATTAGAGCTGGAAGTCTCCGGAGTACTGCGATTATTTCTCCCAATCTGGATGTGGAATCAGATGGCAGTGATGGAGGATGGCAAGAGACACCTCATAGCAGCCGATGTGGTTTCTTGACGCCCTCAAAGATGCGTTTTCGCCTCGCAAAACGAGACTCGGCAGAAGCAACATGTACAGATGGCATAACTGAAAGTAAGCCCATGTCACCATGGGATCCTTTTGCAAGATCGTTGTCGTCAAAACGCCGACGAGAGCGTGTCAACAAGCTTCGCTTATCGCATCGCATTCAAGCTCATCCCGCTATGATCGGGTTGCAGAGACACCACCCTCCATCACGACCCTCTCACGTTCGATCGCCGAAAATGCAGGACGACTCCTCTCGCCTTACTCGATCACGAAGCCTCGATGTAAACCTGTCCCACGTGACACAAGTTGCCGTCAACATCCCGCCTCTAGGTAACATTTATTCCGATTATTTCTTAGTCGAAACGCCAACTAGGGCCCTCCCCTCTAGCTCCCTCTTCCCAAGTCTAACGGGCCGAAACTGGAAACTCCATAATCTGTCACACAGTGGAATCGAACACCCTGGGGATGAGAGCCAGGCCTCCAGGAGAGACCCATTTGTCCAGTTTGAACCGAGCTCGTTTGAACACCAGGAAAAGGAGACTTCATCCTCGGAGTTACAAGTTCTTGGAGGCACTGCAGGGGGCCGTCCAGCCGGAAGCATCGTAGCAACTACGGCAGAGGGTCACCGCATGGGAAAATCACCACGAAATGAGCCTTCAAAGTCCAGTGGGAGTCCTCTGCTTTTAGGGCATCAAATATCACCTGGAGCTTCATTGGGGCCTCTTTGGCAAAGCCAGTACGACAACAGTGATGCCGCAATATCACGCTTTCTTCGGGGTAGCCGCTATGGAGAGAATGTCACTCTGATAAGGGCTCCTCGACCACAGTTCAGGCGAGGTGAAAGTGATTTAGGCATCAGAGCCGCGGGAAGTAGCCTGGCGGACATTTCATCGAGCTCGACCTCTCTCGGTCTGAAGAGGCCATCCAACAAGGGGCTTGGTAGCGAATCTCTTGATCACTGGCAGTCTGCGAGATTTGGAGATGAGGATCTGCAGAGATTGAGTTTCGCTGGGCCTGCTCCTTCAGGGACAAATGGAAAGAGTGCCAGCTATAGAGCATTCAATCGCGTCGAGTCCGGGGAGGCTACGCTGACATCAAGTAGCAGCACATCAGCATGTCTATTATCACGACATGAATCACATGGGAACGAGCCTGTTATTAGGCTACCGCTTGCAAACCAGTGTCCTGCATTTCCACTTACAGCGGAACAACTTGCAACACGATCTGATATCAATTGTTCCGTGCCCTTTGAACGACTGCAAATGTTGAGAAACGGGAAGTGGTTGGAAAGAGGATGGTGTTTGGTTCACCAGCGAAACGAGTTCAGCCACGCCAGCTTGACCGCGAAAAAGGGCCAAGATGATACGGGAGCGGGATTGGAACAACGTCGTCTAGCCGGCAGACTCCTTCTGGCGTTGGGGGTTGCGACGTATTTCGTGGGTGGATTTGCTCTGATACATGATATGGCGCGGCAAGGAGTGGCTTCGCAGCTAGCAATGGGACATGTTATGCGAGGATTCTCTCTGCAGGAAGGGTGCGACGCAGACTTAGCCGTCGGTGGGCTAACCATCCTTTCAAGAGAGGCTGACATGGCACAAGTGGTGGAGAGGGCATGTTTTGTAGCCGCGGTGTTGGTGTTGGCGGCTTGCTTCACCGTCTGCGTATGGGCAGCAACTGCTCTTTAGTTTGCCTTGGACGTGTGAGCTAGGCCGAGTCATGCATTTTCTCGTTGAGCCTGCTAACTGGACATGGGACACGGTAACAGTATACCTACCCACTACACAGGCCGTGGAAGACTTTCTGCAGGGCGGAGAGGGAGAACGAGGAAAACAAATAACCTTGCAATCAAACACCTAGGAACGTGCCTGCTAAAATTGGAATGTGATGTGGAATGTTGTACACTATTTTCAACAATGCCTGTTGTCATTTCGGCGTGATGAGATGACGGAAATCAACTTGTTACTCTACTCGTCTTCAGCCACATATCCCAGGGCCTGGCCGACCTTTACTTTCTGACCTCTCTCAACGGCCCATTTGAAGTCGCCGACAATTTCGTTGTCTGCTTTGCTAGCAACAACGGTACCGCCAGTCTCGCTCTTTCTTTTGACTGTCCCAGCAGGCGCCTCAAAGACGAGGACGATGCTGGAACCCAGTCTAAAGCCGCCCATCTCTTCGCCCCTCCGCAAAGCATGGCCGCGCAAGACTTTACTGGCCGCCTCATAGGAGGCTTCGCTGAAACCCGAATATGGCTCCCCTCGTTCAGCAGCCTGCGCAGCCTGCCTGTCGGCTTCAGTGTCTGTCGTGAGGGAATTGGTGCGCAGTTCTTTGTCGAAGTTGATCACAATAGAACCCACATTAGTGGCGCCGACAGAGGTATAGCTGAAGAAGCCGTACTTCCAACGGCCGAGGAGGACGACTCGTTCGTTCAGTGTGAATAGGCCCGGCAGGGTGCGCTGGACATAGGGCGAGACGGAGTACAGTTCGCCAGCGAAGTGGCGGCGGGTCGAGCACACCCAGGACACGGGTGAGTGGAAGCGGTGGTAATCGCCTGGGGCGAGGTAGACGACGATGTAGTATAATTTGCTGGAGGTTGAGGGGGAGGAGAAGGGAGACCACCAAGGTTGAGTTGTGGCCAGCTCGGCGGAGACGGCGGCTTCGGAGGAAGGTAAGGGCTTGGTCGAGGCGTCTTGGCTTGCAGCGGGTGGGCTATGGCTGGTTTGTGATGGGGAGCCAGAGAGGAAGTTGGAGAGGGTGTATGAGATGCCGTTTAGATTGGCGAATTCTTGATCTCGAGAGATGGACTTGGCCTCGGGGTCATCTGTGGCGAGGGATTGCGGAGGCTTGAAGATGTTGGAGGGAAATTGTGGGTTAGGGGAAGTACCGGTAGGTGAGATAGAGCCAAGAAGGGCGTCCACGCTGTAGGTCATGCCCTTGACCTGCTCGACCTCGCCGTTCTCGATGGTTCCAAACTGCAGAACGCGGGCATCGGCGGGTGACAAGACGGCATTCGGATTGGGGTCGAGAGGGCGGAGACCAGGCTTGAGCTCCCGATAGAAGAAGGAGGCGAGGTTGGGATAGACGTGGAGATCTGGTTCGGCAACTTCGTTGAAGTTGACGCCAAAGATCCAGCCGTAGAGCCTGAAACCAGGGACTCGCAGGTAGTAGGGGATGGTGAGTTCGTTGAAGCGCCCCCAAACACGGGAGATGGCCTTGAGAGGCAAAGTAGACATGACCTGGACCTGCCAGCCACCCCCAGAGGGATATATTCGTTGTCGTTTGGGGGGTCGCTTGCCATCAGTTTCGGAGCTGCCTTCTTGGGCCCCGCCTTCTCTTTGTCGGATGCGGATGAATTGCAGCAGACCGAGGAAGCCAATCCCTAGGCCAACAGGGATGGGTTTCCATTCTATCTTTGTTTTCCTCCATGCTTTCCCCAGGCGGGAGCTGAAGCTCTCATGTTCGTGGCCTTGCCATTGGTGTCGAGTGTGGGAGAATGTTCGGCGTTGGGTAAATCGCAGTCTAACCAACGTAGGGTTGGGCGAGGAAGGGAACGCGAGAGGAGACCGGCGGTAGAGACAGGATCTGCCTACATGGCTGGGAGCCATGGTAAATGACTGGAGGCGACCTTGACGTGGACAGGAATTGTGGAGGATGGGCAAGGGAAGAGACCTACTCAGTGACTTAGACCGAGACCGAGGAAATGAGGCACGAGGAAGAACGGTAAAGGCAGTTTCGTGGTGTTGCCGCCGCTGTTCCTGCACCATGACGACAGAGCAGTATTAGAGCATGGACTAAACGCAGTCTGGCTAGACATCCAGGCTAGTCATGTGAGACCAATGGGATCCTGGACTTGCCGCATTAGCATCGGCTAGTGAGCGCCTGGCAACCCCCTGGTCCAACTTCCCTGCTTACCTAATGCCCTCTGTCCAACTCCGCCTGCGCCTGGATCTGTTATACACCCGGGCCGTTGAGCGTAGCATGAACAAACACCCTGGCCACATTCTGTTCTAAACTATAAGATTTAAATTGCCTTCCACCGCTCGTCAGCAACCGACACTCTCTAGCATCGCCATGTGTTCCATCGCCCATTTATTGCCTTAGCACTCGTCTTCCTCTTCCAATTTCCATGGCCGACAACGACCTCGGGACTGGTACAGGAGCCAGCGCTGGTCCCAACACCAACGATTCACCTGGTCACGTCAATCTACGTGTGGCATACCTGTTGACTGGAAATCCTCGACCTCACCAGTCGCTTGGCCGCGTCTCCCTGAGCACCACCATCGCATCACTCAGGAATCGCATTCAATCCGAGCTGCCCGAGCATCCACCTCCTCATCTCCAGCGCCTCATCTACCAAGGTCGACGATTACAACACGATGAGGCCACTTTGGGAGAGATTCTGAAACTAAACGGTAGCACTCCTCCCGGCCCGCTGCCATATACCATCCACATCATCATCAATTCCGATCAACAACCATCTCCCACCCTCCGACAAGCCGCTTCGACCCACCATCCTCCCGCTCCTCTGCACAATACCCATAATGCTGATGTCAATCCCATCACTGCTGCTCAGACCTCAGCTGCAGGCCTTCAGGAAGCCCTCTCGCGCATCCAACAGTCCATCGAAACCAATGGCGCTGATCTAAGGTCGGTTCAGCAAAGAATAGGAAGGCAACATCAAAATCTAGCCAATCCACCGACACCTCCCCATGCCCACAATCGTACACAAACGCAACCAGGGGGAGGACCGGGACCGGGACCTACCTTTGCCTTTCCAACGAACCCTCCCGGCTTTCCCATGCCCCTCCATCTCCCTCAGTTACCAGCTCTGCCTCCCAATTTTATTCCTGGCCATGCCAATATCCCCGCGGTTCAGGCTGCTCTGGAGCAACACCGTCAGCATCTCCAGCAGCACGGTATACCAGGATGGCCACCAATCGCTCCTCATCCCCTCGGACATATGCACAACGCTCCTGCCCCCGCTCGTGGAGGAAACCCCACGGTTCATCCAGCACCGCACTTGACGCCCTCCAATCCTCAGGTTCAGTCCATTCAAGGACCGAATGGCGAGCGCATGACGGTGGTAACTGATCATGTGAGCCTGCGCATTCCCATTCAACGACCTGCCTCAGCACCTGGCCAGGCTCCTGAGCGGCTTCAACAGGCCCGGCCTCTTGTGCCCAGCCCACATCCCATCAATCCTCCCGTGCGGGCTCAACCGCTACCCATGACCGCCCCTGTTCCCTCCCTTCCGTTTCACCTGCCAATGCCTTTCTCCCACGCACAAACTGCTGCCCCCAACCAGGCGTCGTCAACACTGGCATGGGTTCTCTCCTCACCGGCTGGCCCGCACGCCCTCCTGTTCGCTCCCAATCATGGCTACTTCTCCTCTAGTAACTTGAATACGCAATCAACCCATCCAGCTTCTCAAATCACAAATATCCAAGTCACCACAAGTGACCCCTCTCACCCAGCCCAAGCTCCGAATACCACTGTCGCAGCTCAGAGAGATGGCAATGATAACCTTGCCCTTGTTCGACAAGGACAACGGGCCGCTGCAGCTGGGCCTGCCAGGGTCCAAGCTCAGCAGAATCCCCAAGATAACGACCTGTTTGCGTTCCTCATCCAGCGCGGGTGGCTCTTCTTGAGGCTCTATCTCTTCATGTTCATTTTTTCTGAACCAGGCACCTGGAAGCGTTGGCTCATGATTGTCTTGGCTGCTGTGATATGTCTGCAACCCAGAGATGGGCCTCTGACTCGAGCTCTGACGGCTGCACGGCAATATTTCGACAATCTAATCGGCCCTGCCGTACCTCGTCCTCCAGCCCAGCCTATCGCACAAGGACGTCCAGCGCAAGATACCCAGAGGACGCTCGAAAGCGATCGCACCACACAAAGACCCACACATGTTCGTGGTGCGATCCAAATGACCCCAGAGGAAGCAGCTGCACGCATTTTGCGAGAGCATCAAAACCAACACCAAAACCAAGACCCTAGCTTTTGGCAAAACACCTTCCATCGCGTCGAGCAGAGCGTTGCTTTGTTCTTAGCAAGTTTGATACCAGGAGTCGGGGAGCGCCATGTCAGGGCCAGGGAAGAGGCGCGAAGATTGGCGCAGCGGATAGAAGAAGAGGAGAGGCAGCGGGCCGAAGAGGCAGTGGCTCCTCAACAAGAAAACCATCCTGGCGCGTTGGGCGGAGAGCCAACTAGTGACAGTGCGACAAACCTGGACGTCAAGGAGGACGGCCCGAGCGAGCCTGGCACATCAAGTGGTGTGCAAGTTAGAGACGCCACAGCCGAGGGAGGAGAATTGCGAGGTAGGACGACTTGACACAGTTTATTTCGGACCCTAGAATGGAGGATGCTTGACTTTTGAGCAACTGGAGATTTGATTCTGGCACACCAATGATCTGGTGTAGTGGATTTCTTGAGAGGGGTATAGTAATAGGAATGCTTCGATCAGCATTGAGCAATGTACGATGCGTCCGATCCGTCTATTCTTCTGCTGTCCGTATTAATTTTACAATATCGGATGCGCATGCTTGCTCCGTCTGCCGGGTAGGATCATCACTACCAGGATTGTCACGAAAGCTGCCCCGACAGACTGCCCCCGACTCTGCCCCCCCTGGCGCTCCGTTTAGAGACCTCCTTGCCTTTTGCCCTTCCCTTTAGCGGATTTGTTCTCTCCCACTCCTCGTCGGCCTTGAACGCACCCACCGCGATGTCAAGGTTATAATCGCTTCCTTTCAGGTACAAGGTCGCAACAGCATAGTCTGCACATTTGGTGGCGACCATCCACCTGCGCAGCTTGATCTTTCGCTCCTCCTCGTCGGGGTCTGGCGGCGTCGACAATGACGGGCCAGTATAATGTGATCGAGGAATGAGGATCCATTTCCTCGCCGTGAGAAGGCTATCGGAGTAGAGATTATTGTGCTGCCGCAGCACGGAGATCGGGACGCTGTAGGCTATCGATAAGGACGGCAGGGAGTCCTCCAGTGACACGAAGTGGACGGTGTCTTCGGCATCCTCGGGCGGAGCGAGGCTTGGTTCCAGCAGTGAGCGCTGTGCCCTGGACGAGTCATGGTATGAGGGGGGTGGCGAAGCTCCTCTCGTCGCGGCGTCTTTGTTCTTGCTGTGCGAAGAAGGGACAGCAGTCTTGGAATAGGACGGGGGTAATCTCAGGCCATCCTTAGGCAGCGCAGTGGGCCCGGTGGAGATCTGGCAGAAAGGACAGTATGACTGGAAACGGGGGTTTTGGTACTGGCAAAGGGCGCAAATGTCGCGTGAGCAACACTCCAGCCGCCGCGTGAAGAGCAATGGTTTCTCGGAGTGAGGGTCATAGGGGACCTTGGTGTCGCTGAGGATGGTTGCGCAGGTACAACAAGCATGGGGGAGGGTCATTGTGGACGGAGGTTGGGAGAGAGGTTTTGTTCACTTCTCTGAGTTCTCTGGGTGCACGGGGTATTCCAAGGCCAGTGCCAGGACATCTAGCTATTGCTGATATGTCGATCTGGTTCTGTCTTCCTTATGTCTTGGGTCTTATGCCTGATGCAGGATGCCTGGCCTCGGTATCAAATCAATGATGTCAACCGCTATCGATAGGTCCGACATCACGCTGCCTTACCGGTCAGCCTGGGACTAACCGATTATGAACACTGGGCACTGCCATTTTGTATTCTGGGCCCAACCTCAATCAACCTCAACCGGTCTCCTTCACACCCTCAACGTTGTCTATCTATGACATGCCCATAACATCTTTCCGTTTTGAAAACAAGCCAAAGGAGCTCTACGTTTTGCCCGTCTGGAAATCTTCAAGGTCACTCCTCCCTCGCCTGTCGCCAAAGCGCCCCTAGTGGAGTCTCGTCCTGGCCATCGATCTCGCGAACCACCAACCACAATATCTCCCGCATCCTTTTCTCCTCTTTGTCACCCTTGAGTTTGTCCATCTCCAGCTTCCCCAGGTCCTTCTCGTACTCCCTCGTTATCTTGGCCACTTTATTCTCGCTCTCTTCGACAGCCTTCGCCATCTTCCTCTCCAACTTTTCCATCTCCTCATTTTGTCGGTCTGGCTTTTTCTTTCGTTTCGCTTTGTCCATGTCTTTCTGTATTTCTTTCAAATCCTTGGCTAGCTCTTCTTCCCGCTTACTTAGATCTTGCTCGAGTTTGGATTGGATCTCCTTGTAGTCCTTGTCGTAGTCTTGCTGCAACTCGTGCCGTTTTGCGACGGCTTTCTTTTCTCTTCTGGCCTTGCCTTTCTCATCGAGCCTGGCTTGGAACTGACCAAACTTGCTCTCGGTTTGTGAAGCAGAGGCAGGCATTGGTGGGCGGCCCCGTTGTATTTCAAGAGGCGCGATCCATGGACCCAGGGCCTCGAGCCGGCGGCTGTCCATGCTGATGTCCATATCCGATTCGTCGAGAGGTTTGAGTAGCGCTATGTTCTTGTTGAATCTACCGTTGGAGTTTAGGATGGGCATCCCCGTCAATCGCGCCACGGCATCGAGTTTCGCAACCTCTACCTTCAATCCTCGCGGGCCGAAGAGCTCCTTGTTCGCTTTTCGCAACTCCATCTCGCTTCTACCGTATGTTACAGCCGCAGCCCCGACCTCTGCTCCGAGGTTGATTGCCGTTCCCACCATCTGTGTCGTTGCCAGCGGGACCAGGCCGACAATGTTCCCAGCGAGCGACAGAACTTGCAGCGGTGGCGACTTTGCACTCACGTGATTTATGGTGTCGATGAAGTGGAGGAATTCAGAGACTGAGATGGAAAATGCTGCTAATGAAGGAGGATAGGCCCGCAGAAATCCTGACTCTCGAGCTGATGTTGCAGATGGAATTGCAATTAGCTTCTCCAAACGCCCGTTCCTGGAGGAATACTGCACATATAACATCGTGTGCGGCGTCTGGAATGCCGCTGGCAGGGGTTGAGGTGTGTATGGTGGCGGCAATTCCGGGTTTGAACTCCATGCTGCGGTTAGGCGTGTGTTCGATATTAGTGATCTTTGATCTAGGTCATCTTCCGGTTGATCCATTTCTCTACTATATGACTGCTGTTGTTCAGGCAGTAGTGAGCCTTGTTGACAGTGTGAATATGCCACTTCGGTATGAGTATAACACTCCAGTATGAGTATAACACTCCAGTATGAGTATAACACTCCAGTATGA